TTTTGTTTTCACATTTTGTGAGGTCATTTTTAAGAAATCAAAGTACTTACTTCAGAGGAAGTTATATGTTTTTCTGTTGTGCAGTCAATATTCAAGTTAAACCCAGGATCACAAAATTTACTTCTTCTCATGTGTTTTAGATATAGACTGGCCAAAAAATAAGTCCTTATGCAAATGTGATATGTGGATTAATACAAGCCGAACAATGATCCATCAAAGCAAATGCATTATGACTTACCTTTCCAAAAAATCACACATGTTTAGGAAAAATCAAACTAGGAAAAAATACTAAAATAGTTTTGACATTGCTATTAAAATCAGACTGAACTAGTCAATTCATCTAAAGAATACATATAACTACAACTACTAAATCACACGGCTATATATGTTTGCAATAATGCATTCTTCGGCGTCTATAATAGTATAATTCACCTAAATCCTTTTATCAAAGCATGTTTCAGAGCATAAAGTCCACTAGAAAAATCTAGGAGTCCCATGAAAAGCCTGCAATTGGATACCACGGTTGTAGTCATGAAGTTACAGAATGTTAGAAATTAAGAGAAACAAAACTTGGAGAGAAACTTTTATATATTTTTAATGCAATACATCAAAAAATTTGCATTTTTTAATGCAACTTAAAGAACATAGAATTCATGTATATAAAAAAAGAACATATAATTCTCACCAATCTCTCTCACACATTATATTCTCATCAATCTCTCTCACACTTTTATATTGTGGCACTTTCTTTTCTCACAATATTATACACTTTTTTTTTCAAACACTTGGTAGAAATTGTAACATCCCGAGCGCTGACGAGGGCGGGGAGTGATCGCCGGTGCAAAGAGGCACGAACAAGGAGCGGCTCCTGACAGGCTCCCAGTGCGGGGTTACATACACGAATGAATCGAATCGACACCCGAAAGAGAGGGATTCCAAAGACTGTGCAGGTATGAGACTGCACAAATTGGGGTAGCTTATAAGAATTAATTGGTACTACCTATACTAACAAGATGCATCTGCTTTTCGGTAGCCCGGAACGGAAGAACTCCATACTTAAGCGTGCTTGACTTGGGGCAATTCTGGGATGGGTGACCTCCTGGGAAGTTTTTCCGGGAAGTGTGCGAGTGAGGAAAAAGCACACTGAAAAAGCACACTGAAAAGTCTCGTGTTAGTATGTGGGGATAGTCATTGATTCTTGAAGTGGCCGGGCGTTACAGAAATTATATATTTTACTATGACATTAAGTATCCTTATCTATAGATGGATTAACCCACTTTGGTGTCATCTTTATTTTTAGACCATGACTTACAAGATAAGATCTCAATTCACAGCGATAAGAATACAACTTATAGGATAGGGATAGGGAGATTCTAGTAGGCAGAAGACTGTATTTGGTATTGATTTGGAAAGAACTCGGAGGCTTATGGTTTAAACGCTCTTATAGTGCCATTGTTGCAAATTCGAACTATGTTTGTGAGAGATAAAATATGGCAAATGATGTGTCATTGTGTAAATCTCAAAAAGTTATGTGAAATACAAAAAATCACTTGATTCGGACACCCGAGTCAAAAGTTATGACCTTCCGAATTTTTAGGGTTAAACTGTTAACTTTTTTGTGTCAAGTGTGAACATAAGATAAGTCACGTCTAGAAAAGGCATGAATGTTTCATGGGTCACGCCTAACTTAAGCGTGAATGGTCACACTCAAATTGGACATAAATATGTGCAAAAGATTCATAAATTGATTCAAAATAATTATATTTTCGTATTTATTTATTGAAACAATAATATTTTAAATTTTTGTCATATATATTTAAAGGGAAAATTTATATTTACAACCTATTTTCGTTTACAACTTCTTACAATCATATCTTAACCGTTGATTTCCATCAATCAACGGTTAAGATTTTTGAAAATCAAATTTATTAATTAATTATTAATTCACAATAAATGACAATCGTTGATTGACGGAAGTCAACGGTTAAAATATGGTTGTAAGAGTTTGTAAATTATTTGGGTTGTAAATATAACCCCTCCCATATTTAAATAAGGGGAAAGATATTGTGACAATCAAGTTGTGTTACTACCAAGTGACTACCAATCAATCTTACCGTTAGATCGATTATATTGATCCAACGGTTATATTTATTTCCATTTTTGTATGGTTATGATTCCCCAAATTTAATACTTTGTATTTATTTTCACCTTTGTATGGTCATGATTTCCCATATTTAATGCTTTCACTTTAAATATGGGGAATCATGACCATACAAAGATGAAAACAAATATAACCGTTGGATCAACATAATCAATCTAACGGTGAGATTAATTGGTAGTCACTTGGTAGTAACACAACTTGGTTGTCACAATATCATTCCCCTTTAAATAATATAAATTTTCATAAAAGAAAAATTAGTCCATAAATAATCAAATCTTAATTCAGCTCGCTAAATCATGGAATTTTGGAAGTAAAGGTGAAATATAAAGTTTGCGAAATAACATAGGGACTCCAACCTCTGATACCCGGACACGAGATTTTTTTGAAAATGTGCGTGTCGGACACGTTCCGACACACGTTCGACACGCGATCAACATTTTGGGACATGTGGTCAACTCTCCGACACGCTCTGATACGTTTTTCCGACACGCAGTCAATTTTTTCCGACACGTGGTCAACGCTCGGACATGTTTTTTTTTATTAACTAAAAATAAAAAATATTATTTATAAATCAATTTTTTTCTGTTATGAAATTTGACATGAAAAATTAACAAGGTACGATTTTTTTTTTTTTTATATTTATGTTATAAAATTTGAATATTTGATTGGTTATATGACTCATTATGGACTGTTATATGTATTAAATATAAATTATATTATATATATTAAAAATATTATTTAATATCAAAACGTGTCCCAACGTGTCGAAAAATGTCATTTTTTAAAATTAACGTATCGCAGTGTCGTGTCGTGTCCCGTGTTCCGTGTCAGTGTTCGTGCATCATAGACTCCAACGACAACCCTAATAAATTTAAATGAAAACTATATTTTAAAGGCATGGCGAGATTTCCCCTAAAAACCTTTATTTTTTTTTCTAATCCTTTTCTTTTAATTAGTATTTAAGAAATGAAATGTAAGAAACTGTTGCTACATATATTGGTGAATGGTGATGGTTTTGTACGATATTTTTTTGTTTAATACTGACAATGAACAGAGGAATTTATTTTGAGTAAATTTTGAAAATTAAATACATTATACATGATGGTCGCACAACCTTCACCAGTGTCGTTACATCGGCTGAAGTTAACTTCTTCTATAATGGGCCAATTGTGAGACGGGTCAGATTGAATTAGATTATTCGGAGAACCTGGTTAGCCTTGAGATAGCCCAAGTACAAAATGCCCGAATATGCCAAATAGTACAGATATATAATTATGATTGCATACTTTGAAAATTGTTATTCGTATTATAATGTATAAAACCCTTTTAACTTTTTCCATTGTTCAAATTAAAATGGATCAAAAGAAACCCCTTAAAATTTACGAGATGTTAAAAAAAAAGAAACTCATTACTTAATTGGACAAGTTAAATTTGATTGAAATGGAAATTAGTGTTTGTATTTATGGATACATGATAGAGATGTCTGAAAATATTTACCAAAAGAAAAAAGAAAAAAAAGAGATGTCTGAAAATACTAAATTAGTATCTCGAGCCAACAATTTGCGGGGAGAGGATGAATGTGCTTTGACACAAATATGTGAATGTGTAGACCGTAATAATGGTGGCAAGCCTGAGTGCATGTGAATATTAAAGAGTTTATCCCATCTTTGTTATAGGGGGTACACACACATAGATGAAGTGCAATAGGTGTTAAGGAGATTGTATGCATAGTGAGTGGTTTTATAAGTAACTAATAGTGTGACAGTATACTTAGTGGATAGTTACGTATAATGGAAGAAAGCTGAGAAAGAACAATAGAGTGAACAAAAATATATCTAATAAAGAAGAGAAGGAATTAGTACCATTTAACTAAGAGTTTAAATTATCTTATCTTGACGAAGAGAATTTTCTTATGCAAGTGAGATATAAAAAGACGTGTCATTCCTTCTTTTTCTTTTTTGATTTTTTAGAAAATGGTGGGACCCACATAATTTGTTTCTATAGCATGAGATAAGTTATCTCATACTGTAGGAGATTAATAAATCTCTTTAACTAATTCAGAAAAAGACACACACTTCATAATAAAAATTATTTTATTTGTTATCGATAATAATTTTATATCATTATTATTCTGGCTAGTTAAGGTTAAGGCCTAATATGATAAATTCATACTTGAGGGCCTACCGAGGGCATTACCAAAGGAGACAAATAATGTCTTCCAAGGGATATTTTTCTCTTTTCTCATACACAAATAGTTATTGTACACTGACAATAATTGTAATGCGTCTGATCCCAACAAGGCCAGACTATAATGGTATGGTCTGTCCTCTCTTTTTTTTATTCTCTCTACATGTTAAGAAGATCAAACTCTACTTATGAATACCTCCCTCGCTTACAAAAAAATATCATCACTCTTTTATTGTTTCTATGAGTTATTACCCTTTTCATTTGAAGAATCATGGTAGCCATTAAACATTACCCACTATTGTCTATTGACATACAACATTTGGAAAACTCAATAAGGACCTTGGTCAATAATACCATTGCTACAAAAAAATATTCCTATATGAACATACTATACCCCTGTGAGATAAATACGAGGTTCTCTTAACCATAAAAGAGTTCAATTATTAACTCTTGATGTAATATTCGAAGTTAACATTAGCAATAAAAAAAACTTGATTAAATCAAAAACTAACACTGTAACACAGCTAAATAAAAGCAAAAGATATTTACCAAAAAGCACGTGGCAGTGAGAGTGGCTTCGATTCCACGAAAGCTGGTGCATTGATATTGCAGAAGACTTGCACACACAAGATTGGCCCTCCCCTGAAATATCTTCCTTGTGTCTTCTTCTATTGAGTCGTCACAAAACCCTAAACCCAGAATTTTAGTGTAAGTGTAGGGTTTCTGATTCTGTTTTTCTCATCGCACCATGTTAACTGCAATCCTCAGAAGAACTTGTTCCACACTCTCAAGGCGTGCTTTCCCCGCCGCTGCCGCCATTTCCACCTCCGTCGCCGGTGGCGAGCTCCGGCAATTCTCCGTCTTCGGAGCGAGGTCCTTCCACTCGAAACCGGAGACCTTGAATTTCCGCGCCTCTCTGGCTTCTCGTGCGGAGTATGCTGTAGCCGATTTCCCGTACGAAGAAGGGTCCAAAGGGAACAGCGATGAAGGCCTTGAGATCGCAAAGCTCGGGATTTCTGAGGAAATTGTCTCTGCTTTGGCCAAGAAAGGTATCGTCAAGCTCTTCCCCATTCAGGTAAGATTCCTATTGTTTTTTTTTTTTTTTATCCAATCTCGTTCATGGAAAATATGATCTGGGAATACTAAACTTTAGTGTATAATTTAGAAGTTTTGCAACTATAAACTATTGTTAACTTTTGTTTTATTTTCCTTTTTTTTAATTAATTTGTTAAATTATAGAGGGCTGTGCTGGAACCTGCTATGCAAGGTCGTGATATGATTGGTCGAGCTAGAACGGGAACTGGGAAAACTCTTGCTTTTGGGATACCCATCATGGATAAGATCATTAAGTTTAATGCTAAGCATGGGTTGGTTTTTTTAAACAACACTTGTTCCTTTCTTATACTTGAATTTGTAACTTGTTTCTTTGCTTGAATTGAAGGTGGATTAGGTAATTGGTGTTGTTGTGGCGAGGGAAATGTTGATTTGTGTCTTTAACTTTACAAGTTTTTTTGTGGTTGATCTGGCAGACGAGGAAGGGATCCTTTGGCTTTGGTTTTGGCTCCGACTAGAGAACTTGCGAAGCAGGTTGAAAAGGAGTTCTATGAGACAGCGCCTAACTTGGATACGATTTGTGTTTATGGGGGTACACCCATCTCACAGCAAATGAGGCAGCTTGATTATGGTGTTGATATTGCAGTGGGCACACCTGGTCGGATTATTGACCTTCTCAACAGAGGTTCTCTAAATTTGAAGGATGTTCAGTTTGTTGTTCTTGACGAAGCTGATCAGATGCTTCAAGTAGGCTTTCAGGAAGATGTGGAGAAGATCTTGGAGAGGTTGCCCCCAAAACGTCAGACTCTTATGTTCTCTGCAACAATGCCGTCTTGGATAAAACAGATTACACGCAATTACCTAAACAATCCCCTAACCATTGATCTTGTAAGTATGCTGTTCTATTTTAGCCACTGGGAGAATGCTTTGAAATCTCGTTTAGTATACTGGAGTGTGCCTCCTCCCAAAATTAAAATGCAGAAAGTAAACCTAGTAAATGAAGTCTCCTGGGGCACATGAACCACTGTAGATATTGTAACTTTTGAGCGATAAGTTTGATATATATATATATATTGTAACTTTTTTAAAACTATTTTACGGTGATATGGTCATTAAGAAGGAAGAGGAAGTCATACTGTTTGAGATCATCTAGCTCAGTTATTAGGATTTATTAGTTTTATTTAATTGGGAACTTCTTGGTACCGTAGGTTGGAGATTCTGATCAGAAGTTGGCAGAAGGAATTTCGCTGTACTCAATTGCATCTGATATGTATGTTAAAGCGGGAATTCTTCCACCTCTAATAACAGTATGCCTTCTGATACCATCATTTCTTGACTTGTGTGCTAGTTCTGATTAGTGATTGTTATTATCTTTTCTGTTTCAGTAAAAGTATATATTTTAAAATTTATTATGTTTTTTTTCAAATTTTGCTTGCTTATATATTAAAAAAACTAATTAAGGAACCATGTTACAAGACTTGCTTTTGTTGTCTCACCTGAATAAACATATATATCCTTTGATAGGAACATGCAAAAGGAGGAAAGTGTATTGTTTTCACTCAAACAAAACGTGATGCTGATCGATTATCATATAGCATGGCAAAAAGTCTTAAATGTGAGGCCTTGCATGGAGATATATCACAAGCTCAGAGGGAAAGAACTCTTGCTGGCTTCAGAAATGGCCATTTTAATGTTTTAGTGGCAACTGATGTTGCTTCACGTGGGCTTGATATACCTAATGTTGATCTTGTGAGTTCCATTTTACTATTTTTTCCCTTTGAAAAACAGTTATCCAATCTATTTTATTCTGTGTTTATTGATAATTAATTGAAGTTCAAGAAAAACTTTCTTATTTTCTCTGTGAAGTTTCTCCTTGTTTATGACCTTTTCTTCTTAATGTTTTTTTTGAGATATTTGTTAACTATGTAAGAGCAAGTTGTGCACATCATGTTGGGATTGTCTATGATTTATTACTGTTAGAATGTTTTGTTATTTTATGAACTGAATCCTCTAAATTTCCACTTGCATTCATTTTCATTTGAAGTTCAGGGAAAGCATGTTTTAGAAATCAGTAAATATCTTCTGATATTGTGCTGTATTTACTCAATTTTTTTGAATTTTGCTTTCCAGAACAAATAACGCATCATCAAAATTTGCACCGCACTTTTTCTGTGCTTTAGTAATATTATTAGGTATTCTGTTTATGTTGATAGCGGGAAGTATTCGAATATATGAACCTTCATTCTTCTGTGATTTCTTGAGCTTTAAATGGGGTAAATTTCCTAACAAATGCTCAGTTTTTTCTTGAGCTTTATGACCTTTTCTTCTTAATGTTTTTTTTGAGATATTTGTTAACTATGTAAGAGCAAGTTGTGCACATCCTGTCGGGATTGTCTATGATTGATTACTGTTAGAATGTTTTGTTATTTTATGAACTGAATCCTCTAAATTTCCACTTGCATTCATTTTCATTTGAAGTTCAGGGCAAGCATGTTTTAGAAATCAGTAAATATCTTCTGATATTGTGCTGTATTTACTCAATTTTTTGAATTTTGCTTTCCAGAACAAATAACGCATCTTCAAAATTTGCACCGCACTTTTTCTGTGCTTTAGTAATATTATTAGGTGTTCTGTTTATGTTGATAGCGGGAAGTATTCGAATATATGAACCTTCATTCTTCTGTGATTTCTTGAGCTTTAAATAGGGAAAATTTCCTAACAAATGCTCAGTTTTACTTCTTAGCAATTCAGTAATGCTTGTTTGTTGAGTGTGAAAATTAGCATCTTGGTTGCAAAAGGAATCATTGAATTAAAAACCAACATGCATCATAAATTATCTGGTAGAATTTTCTCATCTAGGTGTATTCTTGCACTGTTCTTTATGGGTTCTGTTTATTATTCTATTATTTTTGGAACTTTAACTTCTGTTTTGTTGCTTTCTGTATTATTGTTTTGTATGTATGTAGTCTTTGTCAGTGTTTTATGCCTTACATTGTGTAATATGTCCTGTTTATATACAAATACTTTGACATAGACAATGCTGTATTGTGTCATTTGATATTATATAGGTGAAGTTTTTAACTTGGTTTTCCTCATATAGGTAATACATTATGATCTTCCCAATAACTCGGAGATATTTGTTCATCGATCAGGACGAACAGGTCGTGCTGGTAAGAAAGGAACTGCAGTTCTTGTTTATACAGATGATCAATCCAGGGCTGTTAAGATTATTGAGCGTGATGTAGGCTGTAGATTTAAAGAGGTGATCTCTTTGCATCCTTTCCACTTCCTTCTGTCTATAATTTTTACTTGAAGTTGTACGATGTTTATTATTAGTTTTCTGGTCAATGAAATTGAGGCTACACTAAAAGGTAGTTGTCCTCCCGACCTTAAATCTCACCCTGTCGGCTCTAAATGGGATTTGAACAAATGAAACTCCCAAGTTAGAGTAGTTGATGTTGAACAATTAGGGTTCCCATTTAGGGTGCCTAAAAGTTAATTATTAGGTTGTGACTAAGGTTGAACTAAGTACTGATAGAACTTGAGTTGCTGAAGATCTAAGATTCTTACTTGCAAAGTATTCCTTTATATGTATGCGGCCAGTGAACTACTATCGTTTATTGTTATAATCAATCTTTTGATACTGTCACGGTTGCTTCCCTCTTCCTATGCTAAATACATTATGGGTTAGTATTCTTTTTTAATTTATAATGATTTCCTGATTTTTTTTTTAATTCCAATATTCATGTTTATCAGCTACCAAAGATTGCTGTTGATAGTGGATCTGCGGATGCATTTGGTGGCATGGATGGTGGCCGATTTGGTTCTTTTGGAGGTACAAGGGATCGTCGATATGGCGATACAGGTTCTGGCCGTGGTTCTGGATTTGGCCGTTCTGGGGGCTACAGTAATCCTGGATCTGGCCGCTCTGGCTATGGAAATTCTGGTGAAAGGTCTGGTGGACCAAATTATAATCGTTTTGGTCAATCAGGAGGGGGATTTTCTGGTAATTCATCTGGTGAAATGAGTAGATATGGTGGACCAAGCTCTGGTCGTTATGGTGGCTCTGGTTCAGGTCAATCAGGAAGCAGATCATCCAATGCATTTAAATTTAGTCGTCCTGGGGGATTTGGTGGTTCCGATGATTCTGGTGGTTTTGGGGATTTCGGCTCAGGTCAATCAAGTGCATTTGGTGATTCTCGTGGCAGTGATAAGAACAATAGAAGAAAACCATTTTAGCGTCATCAATATGATAGATTCACCATCTTCATTTCTTGATGGTTTAGTTCTTGTAGAGTTTGGTTTACTGTCCTTTCCTCTAAAACTTACAGGCATCTAGGCTAATCCTTCTATCAATAAGGATTGGAGGTTCTATATTATCATAAGAATCATACGTTCTATGGGCAATGCATTTTTCTTCTATGGGACTTTCTTTGTCTTTGTCTTTGTCTGAGCCTCAGCTCCATTGTTTTTCGCCTCAGTGTGTAAAGAGAAGAAAAAGAAAAAGGGAGGGTTGTATTCTGCGGGTTCTATCATTCTCTTCGTTTGGCTTATTATCTCCTCACTCCCCTTTTCAACTGTCGGTACATCATGATTCTTCTGAAAATGTGTGTATGCACGGGCAGTTTGAAGAGGCAGCATTATGAAGGAGTGGTGATTCAAATTATTTAATGTATTTATATCACATAAAGTACTTAATGGACAGATAAAGTTTCTTAGAAAGCTGTAGGGTGCTCTGCCTTTTTATTTTATATTAAAATTTTGTTATGCAAGAATATTCTCATATAATATGTAATATTACGAATCAGTGATGTATTTTTCGCCCCCTCAACCTCGATTGCATCTGGGGTTTGATAAAAATAATTAACAGAATTAGGTTGATTAAATCCTGCCTTTCCTGGAGATTGTATTTTGCCTAGGACAAGGGAGGGACAAGGAAATAATAAAATGTTAAAAATATGTATAAAAAATACAGTAACAGGTATGGGAAACTTATAGGACCGCGTTAAAAAGAGTTCAGGAAACTGCAGTACTAAAATATATTGGATTTTCAGACAAATACCTCGTGAGTTGAATATAATATAAAACGGATCTTACACAGCAGGCATATAAAAGTAAATATTCAGATAAAGTTACATTATAATCACAACAGAGATGAGTGCATGTACGTTTCCGTTAACGGTGCCAAATTGCTAATCTTGATTCTCTAACAAAAATGAATAATAAAAATAATACTAGTTTATGCGACAATTAAAGACACAGCTCTATTATGTTTGCACCTCTGTAAATTATTTACACAAGCATAAGTATAATCATTAATTCACAAGAAAACAATCAACTCAAGTAGGAGGAGGAGGAGGAGGAGGAACTAAAGTCTACCATGTGCTAACAAATATCACATGGATTCTGGATGGTACACAAACTAAAATGGCATAGCAAGTTTCCTTTGTAGCTTCACATTTCTGGCATTGTGTCATCTACACTTTTAATTACCAAGAATTGGGAGTTGTCACTTCTTTCTTTTCTTTTCTTTTCTTTTTTCATGAGATAAAAAAAGGGAGAAAGGGAGGGTGTGTGTCTTCTCTCTCTTATTCCACTCCATCAATAGTTAAATGCCGCATATTTACTTGTGATATTCTTTCATGCAAAAATTCCAAGCTAACCATGCCGCCCCAACAGCAGGCTCCACCTGTTGTACAATAAACAAAAGATGTTAAAATATTGAATTTCCTTACTTCTTATGCTTATATGCTACTTCATATCTAAAGCCATGATGTGCTACAAAAAAAATTAGCTGATTTTAAAATGTCAAATACTTTTTAGACACTCACAAAATTTTGCAATTATATTACCACTCACTTATTTCCCAAGCATGGCTCCAAACATTCCTCCACTATCAAGTCTTTTTGTTTTCTTAATTTAGTGATGAGGGAATGAAAAAACAAGGAACAATAATCATTAACCTTATTTTTTGTATCTAGTAAACCAGAATGCATCAAATCAAATGTAAATAACAAGGAAATGAAATATGATCTTATGCAATTTGTTTTCAAATATGGTTACTAACCCCTAAGCAAGGTGATTGAACCATAAAAAAAGGAACCTGTACTAGAAAATATAAAAGGCTACCAACTAAGAGCTTATTTGGCACATATTTTTCTAAGGTAAGAGTTACTTTTAAGTTAAAAGTTTGTTTTTTTTTTTTAAAAAGGGCTAAAAATTGAATTTAAAAGCTGTTTTGAGGGTTTTGATGGAGGGAAGATGAAATAATTTGTTATTAGGATGGATTATTAGGGTAAATAGTAAAATTAATAAATACAATTTAGAATAAAGGTGAAACTGGAAAATAAATATGAGAACTCTCAAAAAACTAATATATATCTTAAAAGGACTCCTTTAAGGAGCTTTTAGCTTCTTCTTTTTCTATTCATTATAACAAAAAAAAAACTCTTTTTATAATAGGAGCTTTTGTAAAAACATGTTTGGCAAAGCTTCTGCTTATAAAGAGAAGAGAAGCTAAAAATAAGACTTGACAAAATAAATGACAAAAAAATGCTGACCTTGGGTCTAATAGGAAGTATCCCAGGGAAGTGTTTGGAAATGCAGTTTATTACTTCTTTTCCTATATCCCACCTCCTATTTGCTTCAAGAACACCGCCAACCATGACAAGGGGAAAAGTATCCTTTCCATCTGCCAAAATTACAGAGCATCAGTCATATAGATTCATGAATAATCATCAAATAGGCCGGGCGCAATATTCATAAGAGATAGAGAAAAGATCAAGAGCCCAAGTTAATGACCAAGGGATCAAGAAGCCAAGTCAATTAGTTCAAATTTTATTCATACTTTCAATACAAGATAGATTTTGCTGTTTTCAAATGAAATACTGCACCTAATTGTGACTTAGAACCACGTTAAGATCCACATGCAATTGCAACATCAAGGGAAGATTTAAATGATGTTTTCTTGTCAGGTACAAAGTGCCAGAGAAAATACTTATGTTTGTATCAAGAATTTGACAAATTCTGGGAAGCCTAGGTAATAATATGCAGACTGTGAAGCATCTCAGATATCAAGCATAAAATTAAAAATACAAATTTTAGAAGGTTCAGGACCTCCCTAAATATTTCATAAATGTCAGTTCAGCTTTTCCAGCAGTTTCACAGCTAAATCTACCTAAAATCAAATTGTTATCTCACAAGCTTCATTTCTATCTTCTGCATATTACTTAAGATATGAAATTCAATACTACACTACAGGACTTAATTTATAATTTTTGTATAGATGAGTATAAATGTCATGACCTTAAAATAAAAATAATTAAATAACGCCTAACCTTGACCACACAATCCAAGTCTCTCTACAACAGCTTTGACACTTGAAGCTAGCTCTTGTACAGATTCTAGCAAGATCTTATTTGCAACCTCATCCCCATTTTCTGCACAGAACACTACAACTGGAACAAGTGCTGCAATACGGGCCCAAGAGGGATCTGCATAGGTCCACCTGATTTTCAATGAAACAAACAAAATTTTGAGACCCTATATCCTGCTCAATTGAATGAACCAATTATATTTTCCTCTCTTTTATTCACAAGTCTTAACAGGATTCCAGAAACTGGTAATTGAAAAGGATTTTTAAACACAACATCAACAAAAGACAACAATCAATAAACAAAACACAATCAAATATTCTTTAGACTTTTGAATCAATTCCACAAACTTAAAACAAACAACATGCATCACAATGCAACCATAGTTAGCAAATGCGGATTGCGGCATATCGCGGCCAACCCCGAAAAACGCTATAGCGTTGTAGCGGGTTACGGTTGCAGAAATAGCAGAATAGATATATGACAAAAATAATGACAGAAAGACAGAGATAGCAGAAGTGACAAAGAGAGACACGGATAGACTAAAAAACCCTTAAATTTTTAGTGTTACATATTTAAATTTAGGACAAAATTGACATTTTGCCTTATGACAGCAATATGGCTGCAAATGCAATCGCAATGGCCGCTATTGCGTTCCGGTGCAGCGCGGCGCGGTTTCTTGCGGCGAGGCACCACAACGCCCATACGGCGCGGCTCGCGGCGCTATTACAGCGCAATTAACTACTATGAATGCAACATCAAACAGAAAATACCAAAGGTGAACATAGGATGAAAAAAGTAATGAAATCAAATAAAATTACATTGAGAAAATTACTTCAACATATATTTTCTCTTTTTTGAAACATAAAATCAAAAGACTTATTTGCATTTATTATATGGAACTATGGATAGCCTAGGGACTAATGCATTCCAAACTAATTGATTCACAGAACAGATATCATCATTTTTTCTCTATAAACTGCACAAAAATGGCTTCAAATTACAAGATTTGAAAATACTAGTTATTTACTTCACAAAAATATATGAAATGAAAGTTTATATAACTAGCATATATACCCGATTAATTCTTCTGCAGAAGAAAGACAGAGCGTTTGTAAAATATTACTCGTAAGCATTGTACTTGGACCGCGACCATCATGTGCTTTTACTACTGCAGTTAATGCCTGTGCAGCTATTCCATATCCACTGCAAATGAAAAGCAAAACTTTCAATCAAACAGTATATGGAATCAAGTACAGCTCTTTCTATAGCTTTATAGCCATATTACGAGTGATGTCAATATATCTGATATCAGATAGACAAAGAGCTTTTAAAGAAAAGTAAGGTCAGATCAATTTACAAACTTAAAGCCTTTTCCAGCTAACTGGATTCTCCATCTGTCTACTACACCTTGTTACACCAAAAGCTCTTTTTCATGGCTAAAAAAGTATAGAGAGGGCGTAACAGAGAGAAGTGCAAAGAATAAGCGAAAGAGAGAGAGAAAGATAAGACAAAGAAATAGTTGCAACGGATTACCTGCCCCAGTCACCTAAGACAGGTCCTGCACCTGCAGCCCTTGCTTCTTTTCCATCTTCAGTAAATCCATATGCAATGGTCCCTGTGCCAGCAATTAAGACACATCCATGAAGTTTACCCATAGTTCCACTTGACAAAGCAGCCACAGCATCATTCCGAACATATAACCTCACGTGGCCTGGGAATATATCCCTGTTTACATCAGGTCACAACACACTTTAGCCTCTAAAGTAGCAGAGAAACTGTAATGAAGATTAAATGACACAACATATTTAAAGAACTGAACCAGTAAAATGCACAAATAAGTTACAATTTAACCAAAATTTCAATTCTTTACCAATAAGTTCCCTAATTCTATTTAGTATTTACTTCAATTCTTTAAACATACAGCTTTTGCAAATTCAAAAGGTGAAGAAACCCAGTATCATTCAATCTATATAAAATTGAAATAATGGAGTAACAGAACAATACAGGAAAACTAAAAGTAGCAGAGGTTACGTAATCACTCTCCTTTATAAATGTTGAGTGCTGCAGTAACCTATTACTCATGACAAGATTAACTCAGTTTATCATCTATATTGTTGTATTTAGGAAGAAAATTCTCTTTCCTAAAATATTATGATAAACAACTTAGACTCAATTGTATGAGTACCAATTATCAATAACATTGAATCCACCAATTTTCGACAGCAGATAAAATGGGGGCATTATCGGAAGAGGTATTTCCTTTCCTTCCATAAGTTAATACATTACAAAAACTAATAGACAGATCATCAATCTCATTAGAAACAAATAAAATTTACTAATTCAGTACTTATAAAAACTAACAGATAAATAGAATAAATAAATTTGTTTAGTTTTTTCCAAAAGCAAAAGAGTAATAATAGCAAGGTATACTTATATAGAGCAACCTAAGCCAACTGAGAATTCTTTGTTGATCTGTTGGATGGTTAACACCAGATACAGCCAAACAAACAGCTCGAACTGAAGATCGTTTTGAACCACACTTTGAAAGGGCATCTGCCATAACTTGCTCTAACGTCTCCCTTGCAGCAATTTCTGCAGAGGAAGTGATTAATGGTAACAATTAATGGTAACAACTAACAACATGACTTCTTGCAATATGATCTTCATTCTATTATCACAGATATAATTCATTAAAACTGCAGAAGCCATCAAATTTTGTCTGTTGTTTATACACGAATTTAAATTATAAAAATAAGCCAATGGCGTCGCTACAGGCGTACTTGTCAAGAAAACATAAGTTATCAGCAACTTTTGTTTTTAGTGGAGGGATGGTTAAATTAAGATATTCATTAATATGAAATAAGATAGAATGCAGTATGGACAAAAACACTGTTGTCTGAATTCCATTAGAATTGCAAATAGATAATCCTATCACAAAGTCAATGACGTAACAGTATGCAATCTTTAAATCCATTAACAACTAAAACCAAAGAAGGTACCAAATAATGCAGCTTTTCATAAATGATGAATTTCCACAGCTTTGTTGTAGGTAACTTACATCAGTAAAATATTTAGATTCATAACAAAACAACCACTTCCTCCAGTACACAAATGCTTTTGTTCACCAAATTGTCAAAGCCAAAACCAACATCCTCCAACGGTATGCAAAATTTGGTTTCTCTTATTCTCCCCATTGTCCCCAACCCACAAAGAAATGAAATTGAAGAAAGGATACACTAAGCTTTAGACGACCACACATCATTCAAAATGCTAAAACCCGCAACAAAAATTGCTACAGAACAAGCTAACAGACATCCCAACAAACCCAGAAACAAAATCAAATTTTGAAATTAACCCACAAAGAAAAATAAAAAATGTTACATTGTTTTTACTTTGTTCACTGTCTTTTAAGAATTTACAATTTGTTTTCACCGTTATCTTTACAAATTCTGGAAAACAAAGAAATAAAGTGAAAAAGGTGATATTTTTACATAGGCAATTGAATTACCTCCAACACTATTGTGGTTAGAGCAACCAGCAACAGCCCTTGCAAGAATAGGAAGAGATTGGAGCTGAGAATGAGAAAAAGGAATCAAGGGCATGCAAATGCAGACAGTGGAGGTTGTTCCACCATCCAAACCCAACAAGACACCATTTCCACCATCTGAGACAGACATGTCATCCTCAAAATCCCAGATTTCTCCATTCCTGTACCTCTTCATCCCTGCTGCATCAAGGACCACCTGCTCGTTTTCCTGCTCAAGCGTCATCAGCCAGCCACTATTTATAAATTTGAAGAGAGAGAGATCAGAGTTGACTGAAAAAAAGTAAAGGATAAAGACAGGGCTAATGGGAACAACAAGAAGAAGACCATAAAAGATTGAATTTTTAATGATGGGGTATCCTTTAAATATGCTTAAGTTTCTAATTGGGACGGCAACAACAGCAACAACCACTCTCTTCCTTCTTGTCCTTTTTTATGGGTTTGATGTCTTTGCAAAACCAAACCACAACAAGAAACACGCTGAGAAAGACTCAATTTTTTTATTTTTTATTTTGGCTGCACAGTCAAATCTTGAGTAGAGAAAGATAGAATTTTAGCTGTTTATGCTTCATGGGGTAGAAGGAGGGACTGAATCCCAAATAAATGAGATCTGGGTCAGTTATAATTTTTTAAATAGGTGATGAATATTGTAAGGATCAATTAGTATTACACTCGCTATTGGAACAAAGAGAGAATGTTAAAAAAAATTTGAAGAGAGAGAAAATATTAATTTAATGGTGATTAGATAGATAGTAAATAGGTAGTGAAAAATTTTAGTAGTGAAAATATCCTTTTTTTTTAATATTATTACTTAATATTAATATTATTATCAATCAATTTCATCGTTAGATCGATTATGTTGATTCAATGGTTATATTTATTTCTATCTTTGTATGGTTATGATTCCTTTTTGATATTTTATATTTACTTCTACTTTTTTATGTTATGATTTCTCATATTTAATGCTTTTATATTAACTATGGAGAATCATAACCATACAAAGATGAAAATAAATATATCCGTTGAATTAACGTAATCGATCTAATGAGAAAATTGATTTGTAATAACATAATAGTAATTACAATATCTTACTTTTTTTCAATAATGTATTAGGTGATAATAGACTTCTAATATTACCTGTTAACCTGTTTATTCACTATTTTATTATAATTACTTCAAATATTACTTAATATGAATAAAATTAGGGGTTTGTATCTCTGCCGTTACTCCACAGTCTTTCTTGTCTTCTTCTGCTGACTTGTCGAAATAACAGAGGCGATGATGGTGTCAAATCTACACTTTCCAAATTCTCTTGATTCTCATCTTTAAATGGAAAAAGTGTGTGTCATTTTAAATGACAGAAAGTTATGTCATTTTAAAAGAGATACAGACATAGAAAATTTGAATTTTAAATTAAAAAAAACCATTCACTTTCTCTCTCCCATGATTTCTGTTTTTCTGTATTTATATCTCTCCTAAAATGACATAACTTATGTCATTTAAAATGACAAACACCAAACCCTCTTTAAATATACATATATAAATGGGTAAGTCTTTAAAAATGAATCAAGTGAAATCAAATCATACCCAAAAATGCCTCTTCAATTTGAACTTATCCGGTTCAAAATCTTTTCATTCAAAAATAAAATAAAATAAAATACATTATGTTTTAAAAATTATTATTTGATGATGAGGGTAAAGAAGAAACATATATATAATAGGTTATTAGGAAAATGCATTTATCATATTACATGATAAATGAGTAGTTATTATGTTAAGAAAAAGATAAGATAGATTTATTAAATAATGTATCCTCTTACATTTTTAATATTATATAATTTTTTTTCTTAATATAATAATTATTCATTTATCATGTAATATGACAAATGCACTTCTCAATAGTTATTATTCACGGAGAATTATAGGGTAAGAATTCATGATTCGTCTTATAATATATAACTGTTTTTTTATTGTATATGATAGAATATTATAACATTCATAATTTTTTTCCTATTGTATCCAATCCGCTTATCTTATTTATTCCCTATCATTTCATATTCACCAAAAGGGACCTAATATCTTAATTGAATTCTATATAATGATAATAATTTTAGGTTAATTCAATATATATATGCAAAAAGTTAAAAATAATTTATTATATATAAACTTTAAATGTATATTTGTATTATTCATTAAAATATTCCAAAATTGTATAGAATCAATTGATTTAAAATTAGGTGTCTAAATTTACACTTCTTGGTGGTTTAATTTATTTTTTCATTTTTTCACTTATTTATCTCTATATCGGTTTTAAGTGTATTTTGTAAGAACCCGCACCGTTAATTAAGGAAATTAAGTAATTAATTATGTTAAATTAGGAAATGATTTCATAATTGACTCTAATAATTATTAAGAGGCTTTAATAATCATGATAAGTGATTAAGAATGCTGAAAGTCGCTTTTCGGAAGAAAAGTGCAGATACCGGTTCTACTAGTCGGAATAAATGCGTACCAAAAAAGTATTCTGAAAAATAATAATAAGTACATGATAATTACTAGAATAATATGTATGACTTGTAAAACGAGTTTCAAGTCAAAATAATAAGAACTGGTGCTAGAAACTGATATTGGCTATGAAAAGCGCGTACCGGAAAGGTGCTCCGAAAAATATAATAAAAATATGATAATTCTTGTAAAATTGAGTAGGTTAAGAATCCTGAGTTTGGGATTAAAATGTTAAGCGTAACAATTAAAGTTAATACTGTGTGTTTTATTGTTAAACCGCTATAAATACTCTTCTTAAGGCACATAACCCTAGAAAACAGACTTTGAGCGTGAGTTCTTTGTGGTGGCTGACCATAAATGCTCTCCTTGACCTTCTTCACCATTTCTTGAACAAGTATTCACCTTTGATGCTTGTTTCATCATTTTAAACACTTGGTGAGGGTGAGAGTTAGCCTTAGGGAATGTATTGTTGGTCGTTTTCTGAGTTTGAAGGGCTGTGTGAGGAAGCTTGGGTTTTGACTTGGTGGTTTTGGGTTGAGAGAAGCCTTGTCATGGCACTTGGAGGTCCAAGTGGTGGCCTTTGGTGTTAAAGAACCAACCTTTGTGGTGCTATTTTCGTGCACATCTCTGAGTTAGACTTGAGGGGCTGTGTTAGAGCTCCAAGAGCATCTCCATTCTCTGTTTTGAGCTTGTGGTATGATCATCACACTTTAACTTGAGTTCTTTTGCTTAAAAATAGAACCTTGATGCATGTAAAGGTTAAAAGATGATAACTTAATGTTGGAAATGCTTAACACACTTAGAAATGCATGCTTAAGTGTCTAAAATCAGTAAAAACCCAACATTTGAAGGATATCTTCGCGAAATGCAGAAACTGCATTCTGTCGCGAAATATCCGGATATTTGCCCGTGAAATATCCGGATATTGATATCCGAATATGGATATCCGGATATGGGGATCTGGATATCCGGATATTGGATATCCGGATATTGACAGTGAGATATCCGGATATTGGATATCCGGATATGTCCCTGAGGAATATCCGGATATTCTGGGATTTCGTAGAACAGTAGCTGTGTTGTGTGTACAATAGGCTACTGGGGGTTTGTGGACCCTAGATTGTTGAAGTTGAACTTCTGTTTTAATTGAACTAAGTCAGAATCATGTGATTAAGGGCTTATGGCTTGTGTGAAGCCTTAAGACGTAAAACGTAAGGAAAGGCGTTGTCTTTATGTGGTATGCTTGTAGAATACGATTATTGATGTATTCTTGGTCCATAACAGATTGTGATACTGCTGTGTTTGGGCTTTGAGATTGAGTGGACTCTTGGCTTGGATAGCTAGCTTGCAAGGTAAGCTTTCGTGTCCTCGGTTTAGCCATGTTGTGGTTCCACCATGTTCCATGGGAGTATGGTTATATGCATGTTGTGTTACATGCTTTTGATGTTTTGGAAATACTGTTGAGCTGTTATATGCTAGTGCCTTATGATATGCATGTGGTGTTCAACCTATACGGTAAGCCTGAGTATGTGGTACATACAAGATGGTGAGGCTGTGGGTGAGGTGCAAGCGGTGTTCCTTGTACTACATATAGGTATAGACGTATTCCTGCATTTCTCTGGCCAGTAGAATAGTTTAAACACTCATGGCATGAATATCTGTTGCACTACATAGTTTTGGAACTTATATTGATATAAATGCTTTTAGAACTTATATTGCACATGTAAGTGAGCATAGGGTGGAAGATCCTTGAGGACCCCTTGTCTTACTGAGATTTTTAGTTTAGAGATCTCCACCCACGTTTGGGGAATGCTTATTTCAGGATCAGGTAATGTGGGGGTTGAGGCCCCAGGCGACAGGAGGCTGGAGCTGAGTTAGATATTGATGATATTATATGCTGACTTGTTGGATGCTGGATATGCATGCTGCTTTTATGCTTGAGCTTCATTTTATGTTTATGTTTATCTTGTTGAGAAGCTGTTGAGTTGGTGAGTATTGAGATTGTCCATGCCACTTAGACTGGGTTATGTCTTGTTTTATTTGGAGTTGTATTAATGTATCATGATATTGTCCGGATTACGTGATGTAATGCCATGACTTAGATACTCACTTTATATTTATATATTGAGGTATTTCAGTAGATGTCTTATTACAATTTACATACAGGCGATATTTTATGAAATTGATTAAGTAATCAACTTGGCTAAGTATAATGACGTCTTAATTGGAAAAGAAAAAGATATTCCACATTTTTAATTAAGCGCAACTTAATACGATAATATGATAACATTACCGGGTATACACGGGTGTTACATATTTGAATTTTCTTCATTTTGCTAAATTTGGTTTTCTGATTTGAACTTGTGTAAACCATTTCACTAAAACTCATGATTTGAAAAGAAGTAAATTCACATGAATGCATTCTATTTTTATTATTCATATATATTGCTATTCCTACATTTTTTTATATGTTTCTAAGTTTATGCTACTCCTGACAATGAAATCTGAAACCTCCATTATGGATAGTTTCACTAAGCATTATATGCTGGAAATGTGATCTTTAACATAATATTTTTTTCAATGAAATTAGGCTGATCGCCATTTGTGTGTCACAGTTTACATTGATGTAATAATGGCTAAAGTAAATCAGAGGGAAAAGTCTATTACCCCTATCGAAGTGGAAACTAAATATAATCAAATAGTCCGTGCCAACCGCTATAAATTAAAAAAATAAAATCACGAAACATGAGGTTCATGATACATGAGATGCATGAATAACCGAATTATGGGAACATTTAGTACATGAGATATTTTTTTTTATCGGAATTTTTTTTTCAAGAACATGATAGAAATTTTTATTTTCTGGGTAAGTTACGAAAATGTATAACGTATAAGCAGAGTGGAAGGTTAAACTCGTTATTCTTATGTTACACATCATCCTTTTTAGTATTTTTACTCTTCAATTTCCCCTCTCTTTCTTTTTCCCTTCTTGTCTTTTATCTTATTTCCCCCTTCCCCAATTTTATTTTTATTTTTATTTATTTATTTTATTTTATTCCATTTTTTTAATCTCATTTTATTTATCATTGGGTTCATCTACCACCGACCTTAATTAGTTTAGGTTAAATGTGCTTTAGTTATCAAAAAGTGTTTGGTAGGACAAATTTTTTTCGAGAAAGTTGAGTTAATTTTACTTATGCTATATTTGGTTGATTGTAAAATATTGATGGGAATCTAAACCGAAATTACAAAATTACCCATTTTTACACATTTGTTGATATATTGTATAAGTGTATTTTTGTCTCAAAAGGTGAAAATATATTTCCCAGTTGGTGGAAAAAAAATAATACCATGGGTAGGGTGAGATTATTTTTTTTCATGGATAGTTAAAAATGAAAATGATGGAGAAAAAACTATCCCGAAATAATTTTATTATTACTCATACCAAACATGGTAAAAAAAAAAATCCTCACTCCACTTTCCTAATATTTCCCCAAAAATACTCATACCAAAGATATAAAGTGAATTTCTAGATTCTTGATCTTGCTTATGACCTTTACGGGGTGTTTGGTACGGGAGAAAAAAAATTTTATTCGAAAAAATAATTATTACTGGAATGTAGTTGGAAATATATTTTACTGGAATATTACTAAAAAACTGTTTGGTAGACCCATATTTTCTTGAGAATATTTGGTTAATTTGACTGAGTTTGTGTTTGGTTGATTGTGAAATATTAGTACAAATGTAAGGTTATTTTACAAAAATAACCCAACATTTTCCTTTTATTTTTTCATTCAAAAATTATAACAACGTTACTCAGAGAGAAGAAGCGGAACTGGTACTTGTGTGAGCCACAATCATCGCAAAAAAAAAAAATTGTCCTCTGTTCTACTCGGGAGTGGATTCTCTCATGTGCTAATTAACATGCTCATGTCATGTGAGGCAATCATAACCATACATGAGTGAGTTAAGGGTGATAAAAAGGAGAGAGAAAAAAAAATAATAAGGATAGGAAGTTACACAATCATCACCGTTGATTTAATTATTAATGGTTAAGATCCTCCAACATGACATGATCATGATCATGTTAAATTACACATTCATTTCCGTCCGTTCTACTCGCAAGCATCCAGGTTTAGTCCTCTGTCCCAGTTGTGTGCACTCTTTCCTTCTGTCATGTATTGGTTCGATTAATGTTTGCTGCTTGTCGATTTGGTTAGGGGGATGTGTGCTTCAATTAAGTTAATTCTTTTCATCCTTCATGTTTGCTGCATGGACATGGAGTTTTGTGAGGTGATTTTTTTCATCCTTCTTGTCGATTAGTGATTGTTTTGCATATTACTTTACAATATGTTAGAACGGTGCTCTGTTTTCTCATATCTGTATCTTGCATGCAAGCCTGGAAATTGCTCCACCGACTGGTAAAATAGAAAATGAACATGCAAGCCTCATACAACGAAGACAAGCAAGAATACTATTAACCAAGCTAACCTGGAAGCTTTGGCGGTAGGTACATCATCTTCCTCAAATTTGACAACATAGATGGAGGGAGCAAATGCTATAGTTTGGTACAGAAAACCACAGGGTTAATTTGGTCCTCTTCATCGTTGTTTTTTTTTGCATGTTAAGACACTTGTTATTACAAATTACAGTGATTCATTGAAGTTGAATCCATCCACCCAAAAAATAAAAAATAAAAAAGTTGTTCTTTAAATTTATAATTTGCTTAGATCAGTTTCAAGGATGACATGCCTTCTTCGTTATACAAGTATGTCCACTATTTTAGGAGGCATCTTATTTGGATGACTCAATTTATTTTCAACATTGCATCCACCTACAATGCCAACACAATAATTTTAGACAAGGGATACGTTAGTAAACCTCAATTAACGCAGGGGAAATTGTGGGAAATCATATCCCAATTAATTATGAATATTAGTCACTAATTATGAATAATTGATATTTCTTATTTATGGGTGATTAATTTAGTAATTACGGGTGATTGATCCTGATTTATGAAAAAACCATAATAAATAGGAAAGAATGAAAAACACATTAGGAGATCATCGAGTAATTAAAAATTGGAAGTAGAAAAAGAACAGATACGGGATACCACTCGAAAGCCCAAAATAGAGCCATTGCAAACCCTCGGAGTTCTTTAGTATTCATTTCTTATTGGGAAAATTTCAAAAACCACCTGTTATTTTTCTTATAATCACTTACCCTCTCATAAAATTTTAAATCATTTATTTCCTGACTTAATTTTTTTGATCATTTATCCCCCCTAAGTGAGGGGGTAAGTAATAAAGAAACTTTAAGTCAAAGGGTAAGTAATAAAAAAAATCTAAATAAGGATATAAGTGATTCAAAAAATTTATGAGGAAGGTAAATGATAATTAAGAAAACCCATAGCAATTTTTTTGAAGTTTTCCCTTTCTTATTTTATCTTGTAAGTGTAAGGAGTAAACAAAAAAAATAAAAAAATAATCAAAAATTAGAAAATAAAAACAAGAGTAAATACCATTTTGGATCTCTAACAAAAAATGTGGTCCCCGCTTTAGTCCTTTACAAAAAAAAATTAGTCAGTTGGTCTCTATGAAATTCAAAGTGGACCCATTTTAATCATTTTGAGGGACTAATATGGGTCTTTTTTGAATTTATGAGAGATCACAATTTCAACTAAATGGATCCACTTTGAATTTGTTAGGGACCTCAAGACTATTTTTTTTCTAAGGGACTAAAATGGATACCGTATTGTTAGAGACTAAAAATGATATTTACTTTAAAAACAACATAAAACAGGTTTTAAGACAATATAACAAATGCTACTCTAAAAATTAAAGTTGTTATTAATTCATTACTTCAATCTTTTTTATGGTAGAAGAAAATGTTTGATTTATAAGATGCAAATTTGCTTTAGCCGTTTTATTTTGCCCAAAAATACTAGTTTCCATTAATGACAGGGACAAGCTGGTCGACGAGAAATAAACATAGATAAATAGAAGTAACACCATAGGAGTGTAACTAACGCACCCAGAGCACATATTAATAAAAGACCAAAAGAAGGAACTAAAAGGCATGAAAATTATTCTACCGACCAAAATTCTTCAAAGTGAGTTAACAGCCTTTGACACTTACAAGGCGTTTGGTACGCGGATTATGTTTGCTTACCTTGAAAAATAACATTGGTCAAAGGAAAATGTCATAACAAAAAAATAGCTTGTTTCCCGGGTACTAAGTTATCCCAGTTTTTTACTTTTATGTGTTAATGCATGTACAACAAGCAACAGATGATGCCCATTGATAACATGGGATACATTATTAGCCGGGGATGTGAAAAGAGTGTCAGTGTGAAATGGACCAAAATAACTTTGTTTGTTGTACTAACTTTGAATGAAAAAGTAAAAGTGGGGTTATTTTTGTAAAATAATCTCACATTCCTACTACTATTTCACAATCAACCAAACATCAGCTCAGTAAACTAACTCAAATATTCCCGGGACAAATTTTGGTTAACCAAACACATTTTTATAACTTATCTGGAAAAAAAATATTGCCAACCACATTACAGCAGAATTGTTTCCCTGGTTAAAAGAAATTACAACAGAATTGTTTCCCTGGTTAAAAGGAAATTTCTCTTGTACCCAACGCCCCCTTAACGAAAACGGATCCCAAATCTGGTTAGCAAAGAGCTGTTCTTATTTTACAAATTTGTTAGAGAAGGGAAATAGTTTGAGAAACTAACTTGTTTACATTTTACAATTAGGTCTTCCATGAAGATCATAAAATACCAATTGACAAAATACACTTCGCCAAGAAAGTAGAACTAGGGTCGCAACCAGCACAAAAGGCGGGGGGGGGGGGGGGGGAGTGCCTAAACCTGGAAAGCTACGGGACAGTCACTGTTTAACTACATCAAAGTATTTTCATAGTAAAGAATCTGCTCAACCGAGAAATAGGACAACTCAGACTTAGAAGTCTGTCAGTAAGACCACACCATGAAAAGAGCTTAAAGTTTCCTTGGAACAATTGTTGACCATACCAAGCTCCAAACATATGGATCATTCTGGGAATCTGGGGTGGGGAGGAGTAGCAATTATAACAAACATGACAGGCCACCCAATACCTCAGGTATCCCACCTAACACCTTTCAATTCACTACAGACCACCTTTTTTTCGTTTTAACAATGGGAAGAGAGAGGCTAGATTATCCAACTGAAATATTGGGAGAAATGAGAATCAAACCTGGGCCATCTACCTTTGTGAGAGACCCTTGAACTAAGAGTGATGTGTGTATTTTGCTAACCCCATACCACCTTGCATCTTAGGCATATACATAATTGATAATTTGTAAGAGTACCAGGGAAACGGTCATATAACTTTGCTCTACCTCTAGCATCTCTGTCTAGTGATTAAGGGTTGGAAGATAAATAATGTACTGAATGCGGAAAATAATGAGTGATGATATAAAATAATTTCAAACTATATATGTAATGTACTGATAATATAAAATAATAGCATATTAGAAAATCATGTGAAAAAATATCTTGAGGAAACAGTTCTGTCTATAAATACCGTTAGTTGACACCACTTATTATTGTCAGCAAAGACAAAAAAGGTAACCCTTGATTGAATTTGTTTTCGTTTGCGAGGAAGCAGAGGAGGAATAAAAAAACAACAACAGCCATGATCCTCTTTTAACCGGAGTAAGATGATGTAAAGGGCCAACTGGGGGTTGATTCAGCTGGTAAGGATCAAAATTCTTCACTAGTAAAGCTTAGGTTTAATTCTTGCAACCAGTGATCCCCCTTGGTAGAGTGGCAATACCCTTACCTCCCATTTTTCCTAAACTTTAATGTACGGGAAAAAAAATGATGTATAGGACTTACCCAGAAATAATGTACAGATTATGGAACTATTTATACATGTACATATTAATTGCTCCAGATCAGACTCTAAAGGAAAAATCAGAAAATAAGGACTAATTGCCTAGGGATACTCAACTCATGCTGGATTTTAAGCACTCCGCCATGACTTTGTATACTTTTTACGCCGAGATCGGGGAAACAAAAGTTGCCGAATCTGTTTTTCAGCCACAAATACAGAGGTGGCCTGCAAATGCAAAGAGAAAAAAATCCATTAATGAGTTTCTAGAGGTGCCATTAAGGGACATTTTTCTTTAACCAAATTTACATCTCTTACTAAAAAAAAAAAAATGCCTATATAAAATGGGGCCAAGTCTATGGAGTGCAATAGCTGAATAGCCTATGGGGCTGGCTTGTGTTAACCATTAGATAAAAATGCCTTATAGATGAACGTTGCGGACTGTAAATCTTTCACGTGTGGCCAATTGCACAAACACTACGGTGTTCCCTTCTCTTCTGACCACATGTAAATCACCTTCCCCCACACCCCCCAAAATAGAAAAGAAAAAAAAATGCAATAACACCTTGATTGCATTTGATGCAGCGGTGGCCCTAGACATACTTGTACTTGTCCCTTCCCTTTCTGTTTTCATTCTACAGGTTTGTTTACTTTCATTCCTTCTGAAATCAAGACTTGAAATTGAATCCCTAAGAAAACTGCTAACTGAGAAACAGACTTCCCAAATACAGCCAAAAATATATTTATGGCAAGTCTTTTTCAAATCCTCTTCCTGTGTGCTAGGCGAGCATGTGGTATACCCATGACAAATTGGTTGACCTAGAGCCTCGGACTTGTAGTTTTGCTTCAAATATTATTGATAAGTCACGACTCACGACCCTCTCACATCCTAAAATGTATTATTTAAAACAAATTCATCAAATAATACTGCTCATGTTATAGACATAATTATGCCTGTAAAATATTTTTTGGGGCTATTATATAATATGATTTTCTTTTTCTTTTCTTTTTTTTTGTTCCATTGAACATTTTTTAATATATCATGTTATGTTTCGCATCAAACACTGGACAGCATCAAACTCATCAGCTTCTTACACTATCAAGCTTTATCCTTCACTCTTACCCAAACAAGGCCTCAGATTTTCCATAAGAAATTAATAGGAACAAGATTATTTTAATAATTAATACATGTGTTCAGCAGGATGTTCAGGTGAGGATCCATGACAGAATCAACCTGAAATAATGTACTTTCTAATCAAAACCCAAGACACTCACCTGGACTTTGAATGGAAAACGATGAGTTTTTACTTCTGCCCCTGAAAAAACTCTAACATCTATGCCTAGGCTGTCGACCCCGACCAAGTAAGCTCCCTGGAAGCCAAGTAATAATAATGAATTAAACAATCTGCTTAAACATACTATGAGCAGTAAAAACACAGACACACAAAGATATGTATATAGTGTATATACAATTGTAAGAACTAGACCAACATCAACCTAACATTTATGAGATGAATCGTAAGAACTAGATAAAAGGCACACTTAAGTGCTCTATGTTCTCAAAATGGTACCATCAAATTAAAGGAATAAACCTTTCTTGCGATGTTTTCCATTGATAGAGATCAAACCAGTTTACCAGACCAGTGGACCCACCAACTAGCCTAAGCTTTTGGGTTAAGTTGTTCCCTGACATGGTTTTTGAATCTCAATCAACAAAAGGTTTAAACTTTGAATCTTGTTGTCCTTGTCTCCATTCTTATAATTAAATAAATGTCACCATTAGGTAAATGTTTTGTACGCACACATCAATCATACATTCATCATATTATTCTTACTTTTTAGCAACTTTCTCACTTTTCTTTCCAACTTCAACCCTATAACTCCAACAAATCCAAATGAGTCTCACATGAGTTGGTACTTCAGAAGGAAAACACATTTCAGGCCTTAACCAACAACTCAAGTGATTTGGTTGAGTGGTTCTTCTTCCTTGATATTTCTCTCCTTCAGCCCCATACAAACCCTTAAAACCACACTACTTCGGACTTCAATAAATAAACCTCTATCTATCAACTAAAAACCTTTAAACCAGGTCGCTAAAAGATATCCAGACAACTAAAACTGTTTCTATCTTTAGCTAATCAAGAAAAACCATTCTATATTCTTCAAATTCCAACAGCTCAATAATCTGTTCTTAAGCAGGAAAGTTTTCATAATATAGTTTCTTTTTTTTTATTCTACAAAATATCTAAACCTGCTTCTTCCATCAACAACTTTTCATACATAATGGCCATTAACTGTAAATTTTCATGTCCGCTGTTTCAAGGACTCTTATGAGGATAGGTTATATCTAGACATCTCATTCAACATTTTATTAACCTTGCATGTTTCACAATTTAAGCATTGCATGTTAATTCTATAGCAAAATACAATAACCACAAAAAGAAATTCTCGTATCAAATATTGAAAAATTGGATTACCTCAGCATCAATGCCTTTCTTTTTGCAAAGAGCTTTAATAGCATCATCACAGTTTCCGTTGATGTTTTTCAAAATTGCCGAAGTAGAGTGTACAAGAAAATCAGGTTCAGCATCTTGAAACTCTAGCAAACTAATTTCAGACTGCAAATATTTTCGACAGGCAGAACATGCATAACTTGTAATTTAGAATAGATCTATACAAATTTACTGTTCTCTAAATAATGCTTCAAAGTGCAAAGAAAATATCATTCATATATATATATAGATATTTATATATAACCAGTTTTAAGATACATGCCTGACATCCATACACAGAGTGTAGCTTGATTTTCAGTATCTCCAACCGATAGAGTCTCAAACTATTGTCTCTTCTATCACTAATATTATTTGAGCAAAAATCATCACCATCTAAAGATTAAGAAGGAAAAAAGTCAAAAGGCAATTTACCAATAAATTTATGATTCTTTTTTGTCAAGAAGATTGATTTCATATGTTACACATACATGCGATATGATCAATGAACTGCAATGATATATTGCAACAATGAGCCTTCGTATATTGCAACACTAAATTGGCATCCCTAGACAAAAGCCAATGAGCAAGAGTAGCTGAAACCCAAACAACTAGCAACGGGGTTCAAATGTTCAATAAAATAAACATACAACTTTAGTCAGCTAAACAAGATCCTTCCGCAAGCAAACTCAAGAAGGAGAACAAATTGTAAGAAAGTACAGAGCATCTGTCCTCTTTAACATGCTTCTTCAGAAAAGCGCCATAGCAAGAAAGTATTATATAACATGCACAATATCATGAATCAACAATATCAAATGCTTAATTTGTTAGATGAAAAAATATATAAATGATTTTATAATACATTTCTAACAAATCGTCTCACGCAATTCTTCTTTGCACTTGAAAAATGAATAATGTATGGTCTCATTTACGTAGTGCTGAAATTTAACTATTTATTAGAAGGATGGAGGTGGCCAGGAACGAACCCTAGTATGGTTATAAAGACTCCGATATCATATCAGGAACCAACAATCCCAAAAATTTAAGTTGTTAGGTGAAGAAACGAATGGTTTTGTATTACATCTCTAACACACATACAAGGTAACCTATAAATTAATAAACTACTTATTTGCATACAAATAGAAACAAGAGGGTAACATATAACAGTTAAAACTGGGTTGATGTAGTTATATGCTTAACTCTTTAACTTCCAAAACAAAAATTCCTCTTCAATAAATACCTAAAATCACTCCCCATTAAACCTGACTAGCGAGGATGAAATGAGTACAATCCTTATACGCAACCTTACCCTTACAAATTCATAAAGAGACTGTTTTCCGGAATCGAATCTGTGACCTATTAGTCATAAAGGAGCAGCTTTATCACTGCTCCAAGCTCGCCCTCTAAAAAAAAAACCTAAGTTCTTCAAAATAAAATGATACGAATTTAAACAACTTGCCAGTGTTGCTCCTTAAAAAACCCAGAGTGATTTTATATTAAATGTTTAAAATGAAAATATGTAGATCCTAGATACCAATCTCGAAGAAATGAGATACCTTTCCACTTTGAGCTATATCCATCACCATCTTCAGTGTGGTATATCATTCTTAGATATGACTCTTCATCAGCATAAACAGGTCTGAGATACCCCAGAATAGAAACACCATTCGAAGGATGGTTCATTCTTTTATCACAATCCATGTTAACAGCCTAGAAGAAAATTTACCAAGAACCAATATTATTTCTTCCAGAGCTTATGAATTTGTTAAATCATTCTCATGTTGAAACTTGAAACTATTAGCTATCAGTTCTTGTCATGAAGAGAGGGAAGGAACCTTTATTAAGCACTTTGAAAAATAAATAGGATGAACTGAGCTAGTAGTGTCTGGCAGTCCCCAATTCACTGGAATATTAAACTGTTCCATTTCCAGATCCTGTTTGGAGAAGAATAGACTTGTGATTTAAATTTCTTTGATGCATAAAAGAAATAATTTAGTAACTAAAAAACTAACTACATCCTATTAATTAAGCATTTGAAACTGCAAACCTCAACATAATCATCATCAAATGGGAAGTCATCATTGTTGCCACTGTTGAAAATGTCGTATTCACTAACAATCCTTCTATTATCATATATTGGGATGTCCATTCCAATCAAAGCATTCTGAAGAAGCACAAACCTTGAGTATCAATTTCACAACTTTTTTGGGAAACAAAAGGATGGAACACAAAAGTACCATGAGAAAACTATGTCAGTTTACCATCCTAACTACAAATATATCTCTTTTAGCTAGCCATTGCAGAAAAAAAAGAGATGAGTCGCTTAAAAGCAATAATAATTTAAGATGACTACATCATCTCTGGATCTGTACTAACAATTTTATACAATTTGAAATGCGGTATCTCTTATATGGTTATGGCTCATCATTTTGAGTGAAGACATGAAATCTATCTGGGAGTCCGGAACATCCGTCAAAGAAGAAAGAAGAGTATCAAGAGAAAAGGTAGGGGCAAGAAATTAGAAGCCTAGACCTTACAACCTGAAATATTATATATAAAGCTTGATAGAAAGACATATCACAGGTATCCCCCATAAAAAGCATTTGGGGGTTTTTGTAATGTTTAGTGCTTGCAACTTCCATCAATTTCCAATTTAAAAAGGGAACAAAGATGTCTGTTTTTAAAAAAGTTGTCATTAACCAACTACTCCAAAAGCTTAAGCTATTATATGAAGAAACATGAACGATTAATATCTAACATGCCTCCTCACGCAAGAGCCTATAAGGCTTCAAGCTTGGACAATGCATAGACCCACCCTACCATGAGCTAAAATTTATCTTTTATATAAAAGAATGGAAACAACAAGGATCAAACTCTACACCATATGATCATACAGGCTCTGATACCACGTCATGAAACAACAATCCCAAAATCTTAAGCAGCTAAGTGATGACACATGAATGATTTTATGTCTAACAAAATTAATTATTATCAGGTGAGGAAGACAAAGAAGTTAAAGAACAAAGGATATGAAATACTCTAACAAAAGAAAAAAGCAACAAAAGAATAAAAAACTTTTTTTGCTAAGCAAAGCTGGCCAAGCTCTTTGCATGACTAGCAAGGAAATCCCTTTGAAAACGGTTACAAATCCTTACCACAGGATTATTTGCTCCACGATCTTCCAAAAGGTTTGCATCGTCAAAGATTTCAAAATATATATCTATAGGAAGAAAAAAGAAACAAAAACAATAAGTTAAATTTCTCAATGTTTAATATTGAATCATGAATTCATTAAGGTAAATGATAATTCGAATTTCATAAACAAAGTTGTGAACAAGATTATATATACAAAATATATATGACTTGAAAAGACAACAAACCTCCATAACCATCAATAAGATATCGAAACTTGGCCCATGAAATCTGTTCATGTGGTTCACAGTGTACCATTCCAGGAAATACTAGCAATGCGTTTCTATTAGCCTAATACCAACAAACAGGGCACGGTGATACAAAGTATACATATAGTACCTCAATATGTCCAGTGAATAGAAAAATCGCATTATGCTTACTAGCTTTAATCCTATATATTTCAAATAAACTGGTTTTATATGCACAAAAGCTTATAGGCACAAACCTCAACAGTTGTTCTTGCTATTTCAGCAGAAGAGAGTCTAGCTGGACGAATATCATTGGAAACCTTCAGTTCTTCGAGAGGATGATAACCTTGTTTACCCGTGTAACTAGATGAATCAGGTACAGAATCGGAATAGTCTGCAGCAACACAAACCTTTGACTGGCACAAATCATGCCCAGTGGATAGCCAAAGGAAGTGTGACGATCCAAAAAATGGACTTTTACATCTAAAGATAACCAAAACTAGTTTCAGTAAACAGAGCACATAAGATCTTCCAGAGGAATAATTACCTAGACAAGATTTGACAAGTGACAAGAATAAGCTAATATAAATAATTGCAGCTATTGAAATTTTGTGAATTTTCAACCAACACAGTAAACTGAACATTGGAATGCAGAATCAGGAGAAGTATGACGCTCTAATGAAAATATTGTTGTGATATAGTTAATAGGTATACTCCTAATTTAAAAATTACAGCATTCTTATTTCGAATGTTCTAGGTGGTTCCTCTTTGTATCGAATAATCTTGCAACAAAACTTAAACCCTAGCATCCAGGAAGCCTGTGTTAGGGTTATAAAAATAATTCTTGGACTCGACTCAACAGCATAAGGATTTAGGTCAAGTAGATTGACAGTGTGCGAATAACTAAATGAAGGATTATACTTGCCAAGCACTATAAAATTAAAAAAAAAAAAAAAAAAAAAAAGTCACTCATAATATAAGAATACTGCATTGATATAGATCACGGATGCAACTTCATCTAAAATGTCTTTCCCTAATTTTCTTATCACTAATTAGATGACAAACGGAAGGATCTCACATGCACTATTACAATCCTATAAGCAAGAGAAAAGCGAACAGATTTTCAAACTGATCAATCTATTTTCTGAATAAGGATAAATAATCATTATTCATGTAAGCACCTCGTGCTGGCACGATCATGCACCCTTCGGCCATCCATAGAAGATTTGATTGAGTCAAATGTTATTCCATATGATGTTGAGTGACATATCCCTTCTGCAAGACACAGATTGTTGAACAGATAAATGAAAACACCATCCAACAAAAAGAGCACTCATACATGATTTGAAATCTCAGTTTATAAATCACATATCTTCACAATGAGTTTCATTTCATGGCAATTTGATTATTTCTGAAAGATAACCAGCCAGAGGAGCTTCTTACCGAAAAGTCCTCGCAGCACAACACAACTAGTATGTATGCATGCACGAGGATTTCTTGTGAAGCTCATAAATAATCCAAAGCAAGTTCTCAAATTTTGCAGGAAAAAAAAAAAAACTGTAAATAAATTTTTATTTTTATTTTTATTTTTTTGACAAATTCATCGAGGTAAAAGAATATATGACCTCCTACAATGGGTAATTTTGAAATTGAATTAGAAGCAATAACGGGGGAAAAAAAGTTACCAACCAGAGGGAAGTGAAGAAGCAGCAGCAGGTACAAGTACAATAGCCATAGGAAACAGAATGCAATGATGATTTTGAGAAACAGAGAAGGTGTGTGTGTGTGAGTCTCTCTATGTGACAGTGACAGTGCTCAGAATCAGTGACTCGGCCATGGAAATGGTGTTTGTCTGTTTGTGCAGTGAAACTGAACAAGAGCTTTTGCTTCTGCTGCCAAGTGAGTCTCCACCTAACACTTCTAAACCTCATTCCCTCGAATATGCTTATTTCCTCTGCACGTGTAAGCCAATCACATTTTTTCTTTTTCTTTTTATTTATCAATCATATTAAATTAAGAGTAAACACCTTTTTTAGTCTCTGTCAATATCTACGAAGTCCTTTTTAGTCCCTGACAATAAAAAAGAACCAAATTGGTCCCTGAAATTACAAAAAAAGGGCCATGTTAGTCCTTATGTCAACTCCTAAATATGTAGAGTGGCCCTTTTCTTGTACTTTCAGGACCAATTTGATCTTTTTTTATTGCCAGGAACTGAAAAGGACTTCGTAGATATTGCCAGGGACTAAAAATGGTGTTTACTCTTAAATTAATGTTTCCACAATCATTATTAATATGGTTAATTTTATTTTTACTTAAATTGAGAAATCATTTAATGACGAAAATATAACATCAAATTATTATTTGGGTTCATTTTTTTTAAATGAATTATAAGATTTAAGAAATCTAAGATAATCTACAAATTAAGACATTTTTTTAGTGAAAAACATTTATGTTAATTTAATTATCAATTTAAATATAGAAAAATATTTATCTTTTAAAAAATACAGAGTTATATCATTTTAAATGAGAGAAAGGCACAAATTAATATTTTTTTTTAAATTTAAATTAAAAAATCATCTATTTTCTTTCATCATTATTTTTTATTACTTATGTCTTTCTATAACACTACTCTATATTTTTTAAAAAGACAAACATGAAACCTTAAAATATATCTACTTTTATGTTGTGTTTCCTTATCGATAAGTTTGTCTTTTTCGAAAATACTTTTTTTTATTGATAATTATTCTACTAATCTAATTTAAGTATATAGATCTATGCTGAATTCCAGTCTCCAGCAGGACTCATCTTTAAAGATTTTAAGGGGATGCAACTCGATGTTGTTGAGAAAATTCATGGTATAATTCAATTATCATAATGGTAGCTTTTTATATTTAGACTTTGCATTTAATGATCTAAATCTAAAATTATTCTAGATGGATGCAACTTGATGTTAGTTGGGAAAAATTAAGGTATAATTTATATTTTGGCTTTTCATTTACTTATCCTTTACTATAATCTTTTTATTAATTATATATTCAAAGTAGTTTTATTTAATTTTATACAAATAACATTTATTTGTTAAAATTACGGATAAGCCGATAAGGGGATTGCTAACCTTATCCTATTTCTTTTTTCAATTGAAGAAGGTTAATATTTTGATTTTGGAAAAAAATATTTTTACAAAACTTTTCATATTAAAGATATTTTAGTAATTTATAATGATCAAACTTAATAAAAAATATCAATAAGATTCTAATTAAATAGAAGAATTTGACTATTTAAATTGAGTAAACAAAGGAAAAATATCTAGAAAAAATAATTATTTATAAAAAATACATTTACAGAAAATATTCATGAAATGGTAATAATTTATAATTTATTTTAGTAATTAATGAATATAATAAAATTTTTACTTACTTTTAATGATTTCAAATTTTCATTAAAAATCAATTATTGTAACATATTTTCAAATAAAGTTTAATAGTTAAAATTTAATGAGTAGAATTTAAATTTATATTCTCTATTCATTAAAAGTGAATTCAATTATTCTCTTTCTTCATTAGAAATAATATTTTCTATTCTCTTTCTCTACAAAATGAGCTATTTTTAACTATTAAACCAAAACAAAATTAAATGTTAAATCTTAATTTAACAAGTTTGAATGACTAATATACCATTAAGTTAATTTTTTAAAATGAAATATATGGGACTTTTCTCTGTCCAAAACAAAAAGACAGATATTGTTAACATCTTTATGTTGAAAAAGAAGTTGAAGGAATTTACCAATCCCCTTCTGAGAATTTAAACATAAATTGTTTTATTTCATAATTTTTTTACCAAAAACAAATTTACAAAATTGAAGTAATTTAAAATCAAGTTTGCAAACTCTAATTAAAATGCACGCGTTCGGTTTAGAAAGCTTCAAATCATTATTAAGACCAATACTTATTCCATCTAACTTTTGTCCGAATTATAATTTTATATTTTGAACAAAAAAACCAAATAAGTAATTAGTGAATGTGACCTTGGCTACCAAATGATTATTCTCCATTTTTTATTTTTGACATTAAAATATTATTCTAGTTACGGCATTGACATAAAAGAACAACTTAAAACGGCATTAAGTATGATAAAAAAAATGGCATTAAGCAATAATGAAATCGATTATAATATTTGATATACTTCAAGTAAGATTATTGTTATTTCTTAAATAACATGTAAATGAAATTAAGGCCACTTTTGGCTGAGAGTTAATATAGGCACTGAACAAATACAAAATCGGCTCGCCAATATATATTGGGTCAAATCACGTATGATTGAGATGTGGATGATTTTCTTTGTCTTGGGTTTGGAATTGTTGTTGAGGATCAGTATGTTTTTGTCCTTTGCTTGTGCGATGAGTCCGGAGTACCTGCAAAGACACTCTGATGCTAAGTCAGTATCAGAGACAGGTGTATGTATGTTCTTAATGAAAATAGATAGATGTACTTGAGCATGTACCCTTCGCTTATATAGCGGTTCTGATGCCGCCTTCACAAGGCGGTATGGCTTCTGATTGGTCATGTTTGGGCTACAGGTCAGGCTAAGACCTAAGTAGCCTTATCTATTCTTAGTGTCAAGCTATCTTGATAGAGTCGCGGCGAGCTGGCGCTTTCCTCTGTTTATTAGTTCAAAGGCGCAGTGAGCTTGTCTTTGTTCTTAAGTTAGCTTCCTTATCTCTGAATCTTATACCAAAGGGCGGTTTCATGCGTGATGTGGGCATCGCGTCTTGTCATGTGCGCGATGTAGACCATCGCGCTTAATTATGGACCCTTCATGAGTTTTGGGCTTCTTTATATGTTATTGGGCCTCTAATGGGCCTACTATATTTTATCGGCACATTATTTAACAAAATATAAAATAAAATATAGTCTTCCTGTCGTGTAAGGACGAATACAGACACCTCCATTAATTTTAATCATTTCCAGCGTTTAGAGAACTATTATAACTTAAAAGAGGTGCAGTAATTTATTTAAAGTGATAGAGTAGTTTTTATCTCTTTACATTTAGAGAACTATTATAACTTCTCTCGCTTAATGAAAAATTCAGTGGAAATTTATTATATTCTTGTCCTTGATTTTTGAATTAGTCAGTTGATAATTTTTTATATTAAAAACTATTAAATATAGGATATATTATATTTATAACTTATTTTTACTTACAACTTTTTACCATCATTTTCTTATATCAAAATTAAATTAATGGTTAAAAAAAACATCAAGTGAAAATCCTTGATCTAATTTTGCTCTAGAAAATATATTATAAACAAAAATATAATCTTCCTCATTAAATATTATGCATCAATTTGTATTTGTCTCAACTAGCTGCGTAATATTTTCCATAAAATCAACACAACCTTACAATTTAATCTCTCTTGCAAATAATATTATAAGGGCCCGAGATCGGGATTGATTACTTGGGTCTCGTTTTGGTCTTTGAATATTCTTGAGCAATGGTTGTTGCAGCAGAATGAGAGGTGAACATTAAAAAAAAAAAAAAAAAACACTTCAACGCTTAAAAAAAATGTAAAAATATAGGATGTTTTATATATTACCCTGTCATCCTAAATAAAAATAATAATATAAAATTTTCACAAAAGGAGAATATATTTGTTAAGTATGGCTCATACTTCGCATGCTGATGAGAGTCCTAATTATCGGGGTCAGCAAAAAGGCAACTGGAATTCCGCTCCTAGGTGAGCGGGCGGGGTCCGGGAGGCAGCGCCCTTAGGCCCGTAGAAGCTAGGTACTGTTGTGGGCCTCTGTTTTATTGTAATTTTCTTAACAGTTTGAGCTTGGGCCCATGAATAGCTGTTATTAGGATTTTGTAATCCAATTTATATTTGCCTTGTAAACCGAAAGACTTGTAACGAGTGACGGTAAGGTGAATATAGTACAAACAAGCTGGACGTAACCTAAATTGGGTGAATCAGAATAAATCGCTTTGTCTATTCTCTCTCTTTTTCTTTTCCGTTTTCGATTTGTGTGTTATCAAGTATTACATTGCCCATTAGCTATTTTCTTGATATGGATCTTGGACTTGTCCAATCCAAACTCCAGTCTAAAATAGATGTATAGTTAGCTGAAGGTATTGTACTATTGTCTATTGCCCTTTCAATTTTTTTCTAATTTTATAGTGAAATGATTCGTTTACAAAAAAAATTTACAAACTTCTACAAATTATATTATGTATTCTTGAAAAAATATAGTGTAACTTAGTGTTCTCCTGAGAGTAAATAGTGTAATTTGTAAAAATTTGTAAATAAAAAATTTGTAAATATAACTCTCCTCAATTGTTGGTTTAAATTTCACACTGATACGTTGCGTTTTTTTAAAAGATAAACACAAGGTTAAATGGCATTGACTTCGTTTAAGATATTATTTTAAAAAATTAAACCATCCTAAAACATTAGCATTTCATTTTCTTAAAAAATCTAAAAATACATTGAATACTTTCAAAAATCCTGAAATAATAACTAAATTTCTTTTATTTATATGTTAAATAATGATTTTTTTAGAACGATGATATTCATCATGATCGGTTACCGTATCAATCTGTTTACAAATTGCAAATGCACGTATCATTTATTTCAACAGTAGAAAAACAATTTAAAAGGAAAAGCTACCTGCAAAAGGAAAATCACTTTAATTTGTTATTTACTTTTCGTGTGTCTTGCCATGAAAAGTACTCACAACATTCAGCATGTTATTGTTTTTTAATTAATTTAATTGATATACATAGTTAATGAAAGAAAAATTGAAATTGATATTACATAATATTTTGACAATTTATTATTTATTATATTTATTTAAAAGGATCCTAAACATGCATGAATAAATTTTATTATCATATCATATAATTTTTAAAAGGAATGATTTATTGCCTTTCATTATGATAAACAAACAAAAGAAGGACTTAGTTACCATTATCAATACTTGAAGAGTGGAAAAACCTCCATCAATATCAGGAGTAATTGACACATGATCCAGGCTGGTGGCTGATCAGCTCAGAACATGGCCATGGACTAACCTGATGAGAAACTCCAAACACATCAGAACACTGCCAAGGGGGAGTTCTAGGTCCTGTCATTCCATGAAGGTTGATGTCAGAGAGGCAAATCTCAGTGATAGGGGAATTTCTCAATCCTTGTATCAGGCCTGCTTGCAAAACCTTCACACCCCACACATTCTTAATTGTGATACCCCTCACAACTGGGAGAGCATTAGGGTCATATTTGTCATCAGGATGGTCCCCAACATTACCTGAAATCTTTATTCCCTTCCTTGCTTCCTCCATATACACATCAGACACAGTTATATTCAATATATACCCTCCTCTGCCACTGTTAGTCTTAATGTGAATACCAATTCCCATGTTTTTAAGGTTGATGTGTTCAGCAAGTACATTCTGTACCCCGCCAGAAGCTTCACTGCCAACAGCAATCCCAGCAAATGGAGATGATCCACTCACACGCCGGATGGTGATATCAGAGCTAGGGCGACCATAAGCAATCCCATATTCATCCCATCCACTCTTCACAGCCACGAGATCATCTCCAGTAGATATGTACGAGTCCTCTATGCAGACATTTGAACTTGAATCTGCATGAATGAATTATATAGATGAATGGATAAACAGGGATTCTTTTACTTTTCAACCATGAGATGGCTGTGGTTTATGCCCAGAATCTACAACTTTAAAGTGTTGGTCTAACAATAAAACAAGGAAACAACAGTTACAGAACTTATATCTTGGGAAGATACTTGTTAGTTCTCAAGTCACTGACTACATTTTGCGAAATCAATATTTGTTATTACCATACTTTTTCATCACAGCTTGTCTCCAGTATGAAACAAGGCACTGTTGTTGGCTTAGAAAGGAAAAAGTACAACAACCAATACGCAAAACTTCAAATAAAATAAATAACGAGGTCAGTTAGCTGCATAGCATAGTATTTAGCTAATTGTTAAATCTACTTCACAATTTGCACAAGATATGGCATATTTAGACAGTACTTACTACTTACCTGGATCGATACCATCAGTATTAGGAGAGTCATGTGGAGCCAGAATTGTGACAAATCGAACAACAACATTACTGCAAAGAAGTAAGACAATTTGGAATCAGATTTCAGGACGACAGCTAGTTGCAAGAAACAAAGTAACAAGAATATAAAAAATCAGTGCAAATTTAACTATAAATGTTTTCCCACAATCACGGTAAAACAATGTTACCAAAGAAAAAGTCTATCTATCTATAGTAAAATAGTCTTTGATAAATATTAAATTCCTCATACAAGTTATATTTGACATATACCTGCAGTAAACTGGGTGTATATTCCAGAAGGGAGAATTCTTGAAGATCACATTTGAAAGAATAATATCTCTGGAGTTCACAAATTCAACAAGGTTTGGTCTGGTAAACTGAAGAGTTCTCTGCCTCCACATGTTCCACCACACATCTCCTTGACCATCAATCGTCCCATTCTCACCTATGAAAATATGAGTGTCAGTGTGAGAGAGAAAGGGTTTAGTTTTGACATGAAAGCCTGTAGCCTTACAATGTAATAAGAAACTTGCAGTATGTGACTACGTAATATAAAGCTTTTCCAGCATGTGATTTTCTTTCTTCTTTTTTTCCCTAAAAAATAATATTTTAGATTTCATTCTTTATATAGTTATAATTTACTATCATTATATTTTAGAAACTCTGTGGTCTGGTATAAACTACAAAATCAGCACAAATATTAGTAGATACACACCTGTGATTACCACATCCTGAACTCCATCTCCATGTATAAAGCTCATATACCTTCCACCAGGTAGCTCCCTTCCTCTTCCATAAGATGGCAAGGGTGCAATTAAAGGCCAATTCGATGAATCCTAAGGAATCAAGAGAGGAAAAGCATTAAAAAGTTTAGTAAAAGAGAGTTCATTGTTCATCTTACCCTTTTAATCTATATACACGGCGTTTTTATCCATTTCTACTAAGGACCATTTCTAGCTACGTTTTAACACGTTTTTACACTGCATTTTTATCGTTTCTATGTTTTTACGTTTTTTAACTAGTTTTAGACAACAATGGTTTAAAACATTACAGTAACGCCATAAACTGAAAAAATATAATAAAAGAATTACACTATTTTGGGGGTTGACTGTCTTCAGCCAAATAACATGAATATAACAAGACCATAATCTATAGCAAACTATGAGTAGCAAGAAAATCGGTAGTGTTAATGATTATCAGATCATTGACAACATGGTGCCTTTCATTTTAAATTGATTTAAAATAATTATTAAATCAATTTAGCATACATATAATAAATTAATAACCACCGGTTGAGATAGTGTTGTTCAAACAACTGAATAATATTTACGCGGTATAATAAGTCAATATCCCACTTCCACTTGATTATCAAAGAAGACGACAATAAATCATATGATAGAGCTATAAAAGTTAAGCACATGCTGCCATGCAGTGATGCATAACAGAGATCCAACCAATATTTTACATCCATTCATCCTGGGACCCACCATAGATTGTGGAGATTGTTCGATTCCCACGATCCATTACAATCATCTATAGTCCATACTCCATACATTACCACACATCTGATGTACAATTTCATGTTCCCCACTTGGCAGTTTGTGAAGAGTTTGCAAGAAGTAAGAACATTTTTTTTTGCATAGCAATAGAAAATCTTATGGCACTTACTAAATGATTATTTATAAATTAAAACAATAAATAGTTACATACTTATAAAAAAATAGTTATTTGTAATAAATGATTATTTTTATTTCTTTAATCATTCTCCAAACGACACACGTCATAAAGATCCTTTTTAAGTAATTAGAGAATATTAAATGCTGAATCAGTATACTCTCAGATCGCGGTTAACAAAAATCCAAAAATTAACTAACTTAAAACATAGGAAATGTACGTTTACCTGTGTGGCTTTGATAACAGCACCTGCAGTGAGGAAAAGGGTCATGTGTGAGGTGAGATTGAAAGGTTCTGTTAAGTAAACCCCTGGAGGGACGTAAAGGAGCGTGCCTCCTTCCCTTGACAAGTGCTGAATCCTATAAACGGCTTCACGAAATGCTTTGGTGTTGAGGGTGCGGCCATCACCTACGGCACCGAAGTCCGTTACGGAAATGTTGTTGGTGCGATACTTGAACGGCACTATGTTGGAGCAGGTTACCACTTCGGCCTCACCACAAAACCACCAACAAGAGTTGATGAAGAAGGACACCAAGGTTAACGTTGAGAATCTGAGGAGCATTTTGTCCTTAACTCAGATTCGGAGAAACGAACCAATGTTAAACCGATGCAATAGGAGAAAAAGGGTAGGGCCACTTGCTTTTATACACTGTACGTTAGTTGGTAAAGCATTAAAGCGCTGTTTACCTTCCCACCAGTGAAAGTTGTGAATGTGTGGATGCGAGGGATAGTATCACAGGCCATATGAATTAGATTTTTTGAACTTATTGTGTATCGCGCTTTTTAATTTAAACTTATTTGTCTAAGGTCATCTACTAACTTCAAATTTAAAATGATAATTGATTTTTTCTTTCTTTTCCTTTTTATCTGAAAATTTTAAATACTTAATATTATTTAAAGTTACTCATGGAATATTATAATAATTACGAAAGAATCTCAATTATTATAAATTTAATATTGTTTTTATTTAATAATTAATGATAATAAATTTAAAACTTTTAAATTTATGAAAATTTCAAAAATCAAACTTATAACTATTTACAATATTAATTATTATTTTATCAAATAAATTTAATGATAATTTTTAAAATAATAATAATAACTTTATTTTATGATTTTATTTATTATATAATTAATTTATTTATATTACTAATTAATATTTACATTAATTAAGGAAACAAAAATACAAGCCAAAATCGATCCTCATGAGATGATGCTGGCGACCTGGCGTGATCACTAGCAAGAAGATTGTGATAAGTGAAAAAAAAGAAAAGAATTTCAGTTCAATTCACGTATGTTATTTTCTTTGGAGGAGTTTTCAGATAGTCAGCTCAAAGAGTTAATAGTTAATGTTTGTGAAAATATTGAGAGGAACTAATTTGTCTTAATAAAATAATTAAGATTAGATTAACAAACAAACAAAAAAAAGCTCTTGGTGAGAGTATTTTTAATGCTGATGTCGTATCTAATAATGAATATCATTCAAAAATAGGTTATTGTATCTATTTTTTTCATATCTAATTTATTTATCACTTTTTAATATTATTAGATCAGATTTTCAACTAGACTTTATTATTTTGTATCTAAAGATATTAAAGAGTGGTCAACAAGATAAGTATAAAAATAAATAAATAAAATAACATATCCCTATTATTCAACATAAAACACCGTAGTCTAAAAATCATTAGCGACGGTTATTTATTTTTCTCTTTTCCAGTATTGATGCTGTAACGTGTCAGTGCTAATTAGGGGTGAAAGTGGGCTGGGCTGGGCCAAGTTTTATCCCGAAAAGCCCAAGCCTACGCCAAAAAATTTTAATTTGACCTGGCCCAGGCCTAATACGAGTCTAACTGTTAGCCTGACTTGGCCCGTTTATAAAAAAACAAATGGCCTCGCCCAGCCTGTTAGCATGTTAATTTTTAACTTTCAAGCATAACCATGAATCAACTTTACAAAATACTAAAATTCTGTTGCTAAACCAAAAATCATAATTTTAACGTCCAAACAGAATCATGAATCACAACAAACTCATACAATATGTATTTAAGTCATTTTCAAAAGCAAAATACTCAAACTAAATAACATATATTTCATCAGATTCAACAAACAAATTCATACTATGTAAATTAAAATTATTACATGAATCCAACAAACACATTATGATGCTTGTAGTAAGTATAATCTCTCCCAAAAATCTTTTAATATATTCATATACACAATCTAACATGTTGAGATGTTGGTTCTTCCTATATAAGAAATAAAGTCAGATTTTTATTAAAATATAATCGAATATAATTAAGTTATAAATAATTACAATTGATTAAATTTATATCTTTTGCTTTTTTCTTCAAGGCATACTTACTCTATTTTATTTTATTTTAAATAAATAGTAAAGTATAAGCTGGCCTGTATGTTTATAGATCAGGTCTTGTGAAAGTGGGCCTACGGCTTTTTTATTAAACAAGTTTTTTCAAAGCCCAAACTCAACCTATTTTTCAAAATATACTAGATCAGGTCTGACCTGACATAGACCGAACCGTAGGCCAACCCGATCCAATTTCACCTGTAATGCTAATGCTTTTATTTCTATTAGATGAATGTATCAAATAATAAATACGACCGGAAGCCCTTAAAATATTTTCCTCCCTAGGGAATTTAACCTTGGTACTCTGTCTGACTGAATTTGGGTGCATGCGTCTATGATATTTTTTTTTTTTAATTTGTATTAATCAATTTTTTATTATAAAAAACACACATCAATATGGTTCTTTCTTGTTTTTTTTAATCTAAGCTATGAATATTTATAGAATGATGAGCTAATTTGTAAACTAATCAAATACGCATACACACTTATATATATTAAGGGAAGCCGGTGTTTCTACTAATCATTAGGGCCGGTAAAATGGGCTGAGCCCGCTCGGCTGACCCGCCCCGCCCTGCCTGTCAAAAAGATTGGGTTGAGTTTTTTAACCCACCAGCCCGCCCCGCCAAACTCGTCAGCCAGTCGGGCTCGGCCCGCCAAACCCCCCCCCCCCCCCCCCCCCCGTTTTTTTTTATATTACCCAAATCAGATAATATCAAATTATCAAAATATTTTCTTCACACACGCAAACAATCAGGCACCCACTGCCCACTGACCCACATGAAAGTGCTGTACACCAAAAAGTTTTTCTTCGATTCTAGAAATCATTGACATTATTTGCTAATTGCTATTGCTTTTTTCCAGCTGGATCACTATTCTTGTTTGACTGAAAAACACCTCGCTATTTTTGAAAGGATGGTCACTGCTAAATGTAACTAATTTTTATTATTCAAATAGAGTAATGTATTTGAGTTTGATTTTTATTTTGTTCCTTATGGTTTCTCATATATACCCTTAGAATTTTTGTTGGTCTTTCATATGCATGTTAGGATTTTATGCTGATTTTTTTAATGATTTTTTTTATATTTTTAAGAATTTTTTATGCAGAATTTTATATTTTATTTTTATGAATTTTTTTATTTTAGAAGAGTTGGCCCGTAACCCGTCAGCCCACTCATAAAGCGAGCCGGGTTGCTCAATTCAACCCATTTTGTCAAAACGGGGCGGGCAGGCTGGCCCATTTTTCGCAGGCCAGTGACGGAGCGGGGCGGGGCGGGCCAGCCCATATTGCCAGCCCTACTCATCATCGAGTTTCAAAATATTAAGATAAATTTCAATTTGCTCCTTTCAATTAAAATAAAAATATTAAATTAATATTAGGATTAAGTGTTAATTAAATTACCAATGGGAAAAATATAAATTATTAATAATTATTATTTCAAGTGATAAAAAAATTTATTTTCATTAATTAAACATCTCAAGTTTGAGCCTTAACACAAAAAAATGGTCTTATGCGAGCTGCCTTTTAATCTCTTATAATGAATATGACAATCAGTGTTTTAAAACTCGGACCGGTCATTGAACCGGTCGAAGTAATGAGTCACTGGTTCAACCGAATTCAATCGGATTTATTGTTCACATATTAAAAATATAAAAATATTACTCATATTAATAAAAATTCACATAAGAAAACTATCAATGAGCTTCAAAAAATAAATTGATTTTCAATGATAGCAAATATTCTATACATCTAAGCTTCTAGTTCTAGACCATATCCTAATATTGGATTAAAATTGCAATATAAGTTCAATACACCTTTTGTGCTTGACATTATATGGATAAATTAAATCATGATAACAAATACTATACGTGAAATATACACTAAGAAAAAAGTGTCACCGTGATCACGATAACAAATAGTATGCATGAAATATACACTAAAAAAAAGTGTCCACCGTTGAGAAGAGATCATGAGACCTTCAGTGTTTATCACCACTTAACTTCATGAGATCATTATAAGATGCAACTAAATTACATAAACGAATTGCACTGATCTAGAATATCTTATTATTTTCACCTTACTTTTAATCATATTCATCATAAAATATGAATATGATTTAATTCAAGAGTTCTTATCAACAAAAAAAATACCAAAAAAAAATAAATAACCGGTCTAACTCAGGTCACCGAGTTTCGGCCGAGTCAACCGGTCCAATCTGGATTGACTGCGAAGCGGTTCAACTACCCACTCGGACCGAAAAATCCATCGGATCACCGAGTCCGAGTCGACCCGACCGATCTGAGCCGAGTTTTAAAATACTGATGACAATACTTCAACTAAATTAATGAATACGACAATAATCGATGAACCGATTTATGGGTTAAAATTTTCTGATAGTAGAAAATTTTATGATGTTATAGACACATATGTATTAAAAAAAATATTGCATAAAAATTGAATAATTAATGGTAGGAGAAAATAATTTTTCTATAATATGAAAAATATTTTTTTCATATATATATATTTTTTATTTTTTTAAAATCATATATATTAAAAATCTCTAAAGTTTATTGAATGCAAACTTTTTTATCATATTGTATATTTGGGTCGTTACTGCTCATAAGCTACTGTGCTGTCAATACAAGGAAGAGGGATTCGCCACGAAGCACACAGTGTGTTACGAAAATGAAAAAAGCAACTCCTAAGACGGAACAGTTAATAATGTTCTGCGCTCTTTTTCAAGAACAGATTTCGGAAACGCCTGTAACAACCACAAATTCCAACGCCATGACAACTCAAAAGTGAAGAAGCAAAACGAGAGCAAATGAACAAAAATGCAACCCACTTTACCATACCTTGCGGCTAAGTTTAAGTAACTCTCAAACGTAAAAAGAACAAGACGCCAAAATATCACAACCAAAGCTCACGCAATTCAAGCTCTTCCTTCTTTAAACAATCTCCCCACATTTGCAGCTATATATAGAGCATTCCCCTTCAACCCCTGCTTTCATCCACAACAAAATCAAAACACACATATAAGTCTTAGAAATTTGAGTGAGATATCGATGATGAAGAGGGTAGTGGTAGTAGCATTTCCAACTCTGCTAGTACTAGCTTTGTTGGTCCTTACAGTGGAGCCAGGGAAAGCACTCACTTGTCCAGAAGCAGAGACATTAGTGTTTCCGTGTATAGGATACCTGGGTGGTGTCGGTGGTGCTGGACCTTCAGTTGCTTGCTGCGATGGTATCAAAAATCTGAAATCATCGACACCAACAACAAATGAACGACGCGCCGCATGTCAGTGCCTTAAAGATGCAGCTATCCAATTTCCTGCCTTAAGGGATGACTTAGCTGCTTCACTTCCCAAACGATGTGGTGTTGATGTCGGCTTTAACATCACCAAGAACATCGATTGCAACTCGTAATTTAAACATTTCATTAATATTCCATTTACTTTATAGTTTAATTAGTTACTGATACTTTTTTTTTTTTGGCAGCATTCCTTGAGCTCAAGGCTATGAAGAAATAGTATATAAATGGGGATCGATCGACATTTGGAAGTTGCTCTCTTCTCCGGAAAAAATAAATAAATATAGCCTGTCGTATGTTTGTGTTGTAAAAGTTTGATGTTATTAATAATGATTATCTAATATCTATATTTTTCTTATTCATGCATCTTCGTTAGCACAGGGATTAGTCATGGTTAAATAGGTTGCGTTTGCAATCAACTAGCGTTCGAATCAGATGTTTAATTATTCTAGCCTGACTCAAAAGACGCGCGTAATCACAATTTGAACGTGTAATCATTTATGGGGTAACACACAAAAATAAAATAAGTAGAAACTATTAAGGAGAAGAGAAAATAAATAAATAAATGGTCTTTATCTCATGTATATCCCCATAATTTATATACATATATCATACATTCATATGTTCATTTACTATTAAATTAACCCTTTAAGTTTAAGAAGTCGTGATTAAATTTGCATATGATCGGTATAATCAAAACAGGAAGAAAAAAAAAAAAATCACATGAGGGAGCAGCGGAGCACTATAGTGAATGATTACAAATTGTGATGCCTAAATGGAAGTAAATGCTACTGTATACATATCATCTTATTGCGATTTCGTATTAATTACGCGACTGCATTTTTATGGTATATTTAAATGGTGTTATTAATCTCATGTTAAAGGAGATAAGTTATCTCATGTCATAAAAACAAAACTGTGGGCCCACTATTTTTAAAAAATAAAAAAGCTTATAGGTCCCACCTTTTTATTAGTGTAGAAGAGATAACTTATCTTCTTTAACATAAGAAAATATTTTCCCATATTTAAATCTCCATTTACATCAAAAGGAATTATATTATTATATTGTATTTAAAAATGAGTAATGTTGTATATATAGTAAAAAAAAATACTGTGTTGAGTTATAATTTATTAAAATTTGAAAATAATTGTTGGATGAATCAAAGTGGTAAGATCATCATTCATTCAAGAAGTAAGACAACAATTTAATTTAAAAAAAAAATTAAAATTCTGGTCCTTATACTTTTTATTCCTTTGTGTGTTGATCTTTATAATTTTTTTATATTGGTCCTTATCTATATAAGGCACGTCTGGACACGTTGCACCTCCCTTTGGTGTGCCATGAATTCAATGATATAGGGAATATATTTATCTAACTTCTGTTGGGAGAAGCTTTCCTAAAACACTCTGATTGTTATTGGGCAAGAGGAAGAGCTTGATTTGAACAAAAAAGCTTCCCATTTGACTTGTGATATTTGCATGTGAGAAAAACTCAGAAGTCAGAACGAACCATTCTCAACATTGTGGGTTGATTTTACTGCCCCAGTTGCAAGTTTGATTTTGCCAAACACTAGGTATGCTCTATTGCTTATAATTGCTTCATTTTCGTTTAAGTTCTCAAATTCCTTTGACTATACATTGTTGACTAACAATGAAGAAGACCCACCTTGCGCACGTGATTAGCATACGGTCTCTCTCTCTAGCTATATATGCGCTTTTTGACTTCAGAAGGAACAATAAATGATAAAATAAACAAATATTTAAGATTTCAGATGTAGTATAAGAAATCATATTTGACTATATTACTTATTAGATAGTGACTTAACCGAACATGAATGGAAATTTATTAATATAGTTATTATAATTTAAAATTAATTATGATGATTTCAAAATTTATGATAAACAAGTTAATTTTTTTTTTTTTTTGTAATAACAAGTTAAAATTTTAGAATTCAAATAAACTTTTTAAAAAAATATTATTAAGTTAAAAACAAATAATTAACATTAAAGTATTGATTTATCGCTTATTAAGTGAGGGAACTAGCTAGCCTATTTGGACTAGATTGCTATAATTATAAATTTGGCGAATCTGGATCCTCTCATGTAAAAATTCACATAACCATGTCATGTTGGGAATCATAACTATATAAAGATGGATCAATGATAATAAAAAAAGAGATAGAAAAATATATTAAAATAGATAGTTACGAAATCATAACCGTTGATTTACCTTTGTATGATTGTAATCTTCCTACGTGACTATATTATGTTTTTTTCCACGTGAGAAGATCTATTTCCAAATTTAACAGATTTAACTGGTGACAGTAAATTATTAGCTGAATGGTAGTCCTAGGTTATTTGAATTGTCTGTCTAATTCGTATTTTTTAATTATTATTTAAAAACGATGATTTCAAATTATTTATGTGAAATGATTCTCACCCTATTAAATCAATAAACAAGTTTAACTTTTTCTTTAAATTATAAGAAAGTTTAATGGACCGCAAGTAAACTAGACCAAATTTAAATGATCATCAGCTAAAATAATTTTTTTTTTTGATATATTCACATGTTTATTGATTATTTAATTAATCCGGTTAATACAACCAATAGTTAAAATAAATTTAAACTTTAATTGTGTTGCCTAACCCATTCATGCATAAATATATTTGGGGTGGCTATTTCAGTATACCCACATGAAAAGTGTATTGGTTAGTTGTAGCACATATATTGAACTTCGTTCTCGAAGAAATGATGAGATTAATTCCTCGTTTGAGGAAAGAAACACTCCCGACCTCCAATTTTTTTTTTTAAATTTACTTGAAATAAGATTTAAATCCCTAAACAAATCTTTAAAAGCTCAATTTTCAATTGTCAATGGGGGTTTAGCAGAAAACTACGGTATCCAATAAGGATATACAAAGGTCGAAGGGTTACGTATTTGTAGTTGAAACTTGAAACTTACGTTCCCCACCCTACCCATGACCCATCGTTACCATTTCGTAGGATGTATACTACGAACCCAAGATCAATTATCACCAGTGCACTGTTCACTGTTCACTATTATTAAGTTACAAGTCATAACCAATTAGCTATATCTATCTCTTTCACTCTCACTGTTTCTTTTCTTCTATGCTTTCTCTCTCACATCACACTCTCTCGTTCTCTCCTTCCACTGAAATCCACCAAGTACTCCCCCAACATCCACGTCACTCTCACTTAACTCACTTCTCTCTCTCTCTCTCTCTCTCAATCCTTCTAATTTCACTGTTCATGTGAGCTCAATTTTTTGAGATCTGGGAAGCTAGGGTTTTGTGTTGTGCTTCTCAAATTAGGGCTTGGGGAGGTTCATTCCAAGATGCTGGATTTGAATGTGGTACTGGCCTGTCTTGTTGGCTTATGAAAACTAGAAGGATTGGATGTTGCATTAGAAATGATTTTGGATGATGTTGTATAGTTAGCTTGCTTCAATTTTGGAGCTTTGGGAGGGTGAGGGTGGGGGTGGGGGTGGGTGGGTTTGATTCAAGGAAAATGAACAAACGTACATGGATAATGGTTTTATTGAACCCAAGTGGGTAATTGAGTGTTAATTTGGACTTGGGGTTGGAGTTGAATTTTTTCTAGTTTGGAACTTCATATATACCTCTGAAAGCATGAAGCTTTCTTCTTCTTCTGGATTTAATCAACAGGCTGAGGAAGAAGGTAACTTCTTTCTTTTGTTCAAATTACTTTTAAGTACTGCACCACTTTTGTTTTCTTTTTAAATTTAGTATCTTGTCTTTACCTCTGTTTATTGGTGTAGTTGTTCTTTTCGTGGAGGTAGTTCTTTTTGTCGCTGCATGGGTTCGTAGGGAGGCATACAGTAGTACTTTTGGGTTCCTTTTTTGGCATTATATGTCATGATCTGAGGTTTAACACGTTCCTGCAGTCTGTTTTTATTTGTTTCTAATATATGTTAAGGTCATCTTCACAGCGTCTTAGCCATTTAATTCGTATCTGATTTAGCCATTTAAGTCTGCACATATATGCAGTTTATGATTTTAAGTTTGAAGTGACGAGCTTGTATTACTATTTTTTTTTACTGTTACTATACATGCCTGTTTGTGTATATGGAGTTTGGATTATGGTAGTTTATTTTAATTGATAAAATATGCAGTCGATTTAATACATTATTACTGATATGCGACTTGCGGACTGGACTATGGTGTCCTTTTGACGTATCTTCTATAATTACATTAGCAACGCTGTGAATGATTTACTTCGTGTATATTCATATTAGCCTATGATTGTGCAGGGGAGAAAAAGTGCTTGAATTCTGAACTTTGGCATGCATGTGCTGGCCCTCTTGTTTCTCTTCCTCCTGTTGGAAGTCGTGTAGTTTACTTTCCCCAAGGTCACAGTGAGCAGGTCAGTAATGCTACTTTTATCTGTAAGTTGGATTTAGAGAGAACTATACTTGATTTTTTGCTTTTCATGGATATTTAGTTAAGCTGATATGCCCATGAAAACGCATAAGAACATATCAATAATTAGAACCTCATTTAATATATCCATATGATCTTTGTTAGCATGTCAGTCGTACTACGTTGATCTGTCTGTTGAATCTCAGTGGATTCGACTTCAATTTATTGCTTTGTTCTGTATATCTGATGAAAGCAGTTATGTTTGTGCCAGTGCAAGCGCATAATTTTAAGACAACATATATTTGGTATTTGACCTGATAGGAGGGATTCACAGTTAGTGGGTCAGCTGTACTGAGAAAATATGAAGAGGTGTAAACTGTAAGTTACATGTCAGTGGACTTCGTGGATTTATGTTTAAGTTGTTATGCCTACATGGAGGGAGGTCATCTAAGACCATGGAGCAGTAATCTTTAGTTTCAGGCTAATAAAGTGAAGACAAAACAAAATATGCTATGTTGAACTTTTGATTTGATGCCTTCTGTTGTTGCTGCAATGCAACTCTTCCTCATAACTCATGTCCCTGGTAACACAATATTGCTTTACGCTCGAAATGAGCAGCTTTCTGTTAAATTTTTAGTAGAAATTGACATTAAGGTTTCAGTTCTAGAATAGTGTGAACTTTGGTCAGTGTTGTCTTTTCTAATCTATTGTTGCG